CTGAGATTCTGTCCTGGTGCTTGGAAAGGATGACTGACCTTTCTGTACACCTGTCTGCACAGCCCAGGCTCTGCTTTTCCCCATGCTGTGGTGCTTGCATCAGTGCTGCCTGGGAAAGAGTCTCAGCCCCCTAATCAGGCAAAGAGATGCTGCTGGTGCTGCTGTCCTCCTCCATGGGTGGAGATGCCCACACGGGGAAGAGGAGAGACCTCAGACCTCGGGGACAGACCCGTGGACCGGGATGCATCTGTTCCTGTGGGGAGCAGCCCAAACCTGGGCTCCCAGCATGTCTGAACAGATACCCTGAGGGGTTCTTTACCATTTGCCACTAGTGATGTAAGATGGTTTTCTGCGGATATTGAAGAATCATGCAGTGTAAGTCTTGTTGCACATTTAGGTGGCAAGAAAGGTGGATGTGTGGGGAGAAGACAAGTCACGGTGCATAAATGGAGAGAACAGAATAAGATTAACATCTTAACACATGGGATACATAATCCTGTGAAGCGGAGATCCCCAAATAATCTGTTAAATGTGTCCTACAGGCCAGTGCAAATGAGCATATCCCTCAGAGCAGGGTATTTGGCTGAGTCCTTGTCTACTAACGTGGTTAGCCTGCAGGATGGGGATCTGCACAGCACAGATAAGGGAAGTGCATGTGGGGGAGCCCAAAGACGGATTCAGGAACTCATTACTTCTGAGAAGGTACCAGTGACTCGGCTTGCCCTCTTCTCCATCTGACCTGTCCAGAGTCACATCACTTTGGGGAGCAACGTGCTCTTCTCTGTCTTTGCAGACCGACCTTCTCCTCTGCATCCTCATGCCTTGAGCATCGGAGGTGTTTGCTGTCACAACACACGTCCCACGACAGCAGGGTCAGCTGCCCTGAGGAAGCAGGGAGGGAAAGCAGGAGCAAACGGGCACGTATCCATCTGTCCTCTGCCTGCCTTTCTTCTGTGCTCCTCCTTGGTCTCGGGTCACCAGTGAGCATTGCTGTTAGACCACAGGTGTCCCCCCAGCATCGCTAATCTTCCCTCCTGATCACTTTTATTGCTGACACTGGTTTCCCTCTCCCACACTAGGGATGCTGTGAAATGGGGGATGTCTCACCCTGCCTGTACTTCCAAAGGTGGAGGTTCCTGACAGTCTCCTCTTCACTGGGAGCCCAGTGTAGGAGTGGGGCTGTGGCTGCTGGAGCCCATCATGGTTCTGAGGGGCCTCGTCAGCACTCATTACTTTGGTTATGTTCACTTGTGATTAGTTATGGTGAAACTGTTGTAGGAAGTCACAGACTTAATTAAGCAGAAATTAGCCATAAACAGAAAAAATAAATTATATGAATGCCTAGGGGAAACTCCTCTGCAAACATAGCATTCAGGCAGCTAGGCAGGTTCCTGACCAAAGAAGCAGCTGTGCTGTGCCCGTGGGGGAAATCGGTGTTTTTCCCGTTTCATTAGTAAAGGTGTCAAGAGGTAGGATTAGTCTGGACAAGCGAGGACAGTGGTGGATTCTCCTGCAGATGGGCAGCCAGGGCTGTAAGTTCCTCTGTCTCCAACACAAACCCCAGTGTCCACCTGCCCCAGCCCCTAACATTTGGAAAGCAGGAGCACATTTTGGATGCACTTGTAGGGTGGGGAGAAGACTTTTGCGGAGGTGCCTGATGTCTCTGGGTTTGGGGTTAGCCATCTGTCACGGAAAAGGCTGGTGTTGCTGGCTGAGTCCTGGTCTCCGGCCACGCTGGGCCTGGCAGGATGAGGGAATTGGGTTGTTTTGAGGAGTTTTCCCCCTCTGCTGACAGGAGGGGATGGAAACCCATGCGGCAGGCTCTGGGCTGGCAGCTGCAGTGGGAGTGGGTCCCTCTGTGCAGTGGGATGGCAGTGTTTTCCCATTCCTCCCATGCACCCCAGGGCACATCAATGGGGCTCTGTTTTGTCTTGGTTTCCCTGCCTACAAAATCAGATGCTGCCATCCCTTCCTTTGCAAAGCCCCTCAGGATGCACTGTGGGGAGCTCTATGGAGAGCTGGGTGCTGTCAGTGTCAGAGCCACACGTGGTGTTTTGGGGGGTGTGTGTCCCAGCTCTGAGAGCAGTTCATGCTGGATGGGGAGGGGGTTGCTTTGAACATTTCCAGGATTTATTACGAGCAGAGCTTCCCTTTTGGGGATGGAGTGCTTAAGAGCATCTTCACCCACAGTCTCCCCATCCTTGCTGCCAGCAGAGCTGCTTCTTCCCCTGCCAGCTCTCTCCATATCCCTGTGTCAAGACACTTTTCCTGGGGTTGCCATTCATCCCCCCGCCAAGAAGTTCCTGGGGCTCATTCCTGCCCATGTCTGTCCCCTGTGCTGGTTGAGCCTTGGCTGTGGCTCCTTTGGTTGGGCTTGCTTGCAAATTTGCATCCTGCCACATTGTCCCTCTGCTAGCCCCTGTGGAAAGCAGCTGCCTCTGCCCATGGCAGTGGTGGAGGAGGAATCTGTGACATGGGCAGACCTGCTGTCAGACTGCCCTGTCCTTTAGCAGCCCTGCCCTACCTACACAGCTTCACTGCCCAGGGTGTCTGCTCAGGGGCTGTCTCTGCAAGCAAAGGTGGCAATTTGAGGTCAGGGAGTGTGTCAACCCTTCCCTTGCCCTCTCCTGGGATGGGGCTGAGCGCAGTCCGTACCCCCCACAGCTGAGCTGGTCAGAAGGTGATTTCTGGTTTTCAGTCTGGGCAGTCACACTTGTTCAATCCCTCACATGGAGGCTGCCGCAGTGGGTTAAAAGTGCCTCATGTCCGTAGCAGGATTTAAAAACATAGTGAATTATTGCCTGTTGGGGAAATTCTGAAGCCTGAGTATAGCTTCTGGTACCTTCTGGGCTGGAAAGCAGAAATAGCAGCTTTTTTTCTTGCTGGAGAATTATTTTCACACATTGCTGGATAAAGTTTTCGTTTAGGTTGACTTTCTTCTTGTTTTACGTTAATGTCTCAGGTCATTTCCCATCTACAGTTTTGCGAAAAACCTGTGGTGTTCCTGTGAAGCACTTCAGTGTGGATAAATCAAGTTTTTAGGTCATCTCTGCTTACCTATGCTTATCTCAATCCCCTTTTCATATCTGGATAACCTCTACTGAACCTTTTCCCCAGCTGTGCTGGGTCACACCAGTCTGTGGCAGGACAGGCAGCGGCACTGTCCTTTGTTGGTAGGGATGAAGGCAGTGCAGTGCCTGTGTTGTGTAGCCAGCACATGATGTTTATCTTGCAGTCTTTCAGGACTTGAGAGGCAGCCCCCAAAAGGCAGAAGATGGACCCTAGCTCTGCTGATGTTGATTCCAGCCCATGCAAGGGAAGAATCAGCCTATATTTCTTTGGGGGTGGGACCAATCCACTCAAATGGTAGGTGAAAGTCAGGGCTTTGAAAAATGGCACGCTTGGAAAGTTTAATCCTGGAAACATGATACTGCATGTTGTCTTTGGCTGCTTGTGAAGAGACATTGCCTGCTCCAGCTGCCACCTCTGCCCTCATGGCCCCATTGCCCAACTGGGGCTCCTGGGTTTAGGGCTGGGCTGGCTCGGAGCTCCCCAGCCCCAGGGATATTCCCCAGTGCTCACCTCCAAACAGCTCTGCCCTTTCTTTGTATTGCCTGGCAGAATGGGCTCAGACCGGCTGCCCTCAGTGTCAGCTGAGGTAGTAAATAAACATCCCCAAAGTAGGAGACATTTTCCCCTACTGCCTCCAGTGCTGACCCCAGTGGTTTATCCTGAGGGTCCTGCCACGCACCAGGGTGACTCCCTTCGTGTGCATCTCCAGCATCGTGTGTCCCCAGGGCAATACCGCATGCCCTTATGCGATCTGATTCACTGGCTTCTGGCACCTGTGGAGGATTTTTGTGAGATGATGTTACAAACGACCTCTACAAAGCATGCCAGTTTGTAAACCTACTGCTTCCCCACTCTGCAGGTGAGCTCCTGGGTTTTTTATTGAGGGGCTGGGGGATAATCATCCGGTGAGCTCTGGCACAGGCGAGCAGATCAGTGTCTTAGTTTCCATCATGCTTGCTGCTGTGGTTTGACCACATGGGTACATGAAAAGGTCAATAGGAATTCAGTAGGTACATTAACAGACACAGCAAAAACCAAAACAGATGTAGTATTAAACGTAACATTCAAAAAAAAAAAAAAATCTGAGCTGAAATATCTTGAGAAAAATGGCATAACTGGAATGCCTGCTGTTCGTGCTGGCCAAGAGAAGCCCTGGAGAAGTGCATCAGGGCAGAGGTGGGTAAAAAAGGCTGCTCAGGCAAAGGCACAAAGGGATTGCTGACTTCTAGTGAGCTACAGACACTATAAATACAAAGACTCTGGCAGTATCTCACCCTGCTGACAGAGCTCTCCCCTATGAGCTGTGTTTGCCCTCGCAGCGTATGGCACAGGCACAGAGGGGGCTGTGTGAGCCCGGGACAAATGTCCCCCCTCCACCCGCTCTCTGCCTTTTGCTTTGATCCATCTGCTTGATGGTGCTGGTGAGCCTTGAGTCTGGCCGCCGAAGCAGATTTAGTGTAGCAGTCCCTGGAGATGGAGATGAGTAGTTCTGCACATTTGCAGAAAGATTTTAAAGGGATGACACTCTCCTGCTAAAGCACTGGAGACCCAGAGCAGTGGGGGGCACGTGGCAGACAGCCGGGGCCATGCCATGGGGTCTGCAAGGGGAGGGCTCCCTCCCACTGAGGTCAAAAGGACCTAGAGTCACTCCACTGATTGCTGCGGCTGCTCTCTGCAAACTTTGAGCCTCTCTATCCTGCCTGACCATGGCTGCTTTTTTTTTCTTGCTTTCCAGTCAAGGCCACAGTTCAGGGTCTGGAGAGGTGTATGTTGTAAGGGAGCTGGGGAGAAAGTTCTCCTGGCTGGATGCACCTCCCTTCCTGCCATCCCACCACCCACACATCAGCTGGGTGATAATTTGTGGAGGGGGAGGGACAAGAGGAGGAGAGAGGGGAGTCTTTGCCTTAATTCTTGGCACTCAGTGGATTTCCTGCTTGGCCTCCAGTGGGACGGGACGGAACGGGCTTGCCTGGGGGAGACCTGTGCTGGGTTCAGGTGAGTTGGGTGTTTGCTGGTTGAGCAGATCTGACTGGATGTGTGTGTTCATGCCGGGAGTGCTGGTGTCTCCGGTACTCCCACAACCAGCTGCCTGCTGCACGCTGGGGAGCGGGCCCGCAAACCTGTGAGGGGAAAAGGTTCCCAATGTTAAGCAAAGGAAGAGAGAGCTGGAGGATGGGGAGAAAATAGTCTGTTTGGATCAACCTAGGGAAGAGGAGTTTTTTCTTTCAGTGGTTCCTATAGGAGAGGCCAGGCAGCAACGCCGATGGGGGGGCGGTTGGGAAGCTGCAGAGCAAAGGGATGCTTGAAAGATGGGTCATTGGTACTGAAGGTTGCAGCAGCAAAGAGAGAGAAAGGACTCAACAGGAAGATTGAGAAAAGAGATGAGAGTAGGCCGGATGGGGATGGGGAGGAAGGGCAGCAATGGCTACATGATCATAGGTACAGGAGCAAAGGTGCTAGGAGTGTGGTAGGCTTCAGGAAGTTCTGCTCCTGCAAACATGAGGCAGTGACTCCCTCTCCTCCTGTGCTGCCCTGCAGAGGTGCTGGCCCTGGCGCATTGACTTGGGGGCTGCAGCAATAAGAGAGGTGCCTGGGAGCGTGCTCCTTCTTCTTCTTGCTTCAGAGGCTTCATCAAATTTGTTCCTGTGTAGGTGTGAGACAGCACAGTTTCTGCATGTGCTAAACTCTGGGGATCTGTGGGCATATTTGTGGACGAGCCTAGGCAGAACACACGGGGGTTTCATAACACCTGATCTGTGTCTCCTTAAATCAACAGTGCTTTTGAAGTAATCAGTGCAGATCAGGGCTTTCATCCAATGCCATTGGAAAAGCCGTTGCCCCAGTTTTTCCTCTTTGACAGCTGCTGATACGCGAGGGTGAACCTTGGACCTGACTTTTGCAGCTCTGCAACAGCTTGCTGGATTCATGGGTGCAGATGTGGTCCTTGAACAGGGCAGGCTAACGAGCCCTGCGCTGTGTCTCTCTACCTGCCCATGCTCCTGGGCAGGGCTATAGGAAAGTTCGGGTGCCCCAGGCTGGAAAGGAGATACCTTGCCTCTCGGAGGGTGCAGGGGGGATGCAGTCCCGTTGCATTGCAACGCAGCGTTACAGCAGTCACTGCTAGGAAAGGGTTGTCCCCATTTCATCTGACGTGCCTTGTCCTGTGCACCAACTGGAGATGGCTGAGCCTGCCCAGGGTCAGCCGAGTAGATCCCCAGCCCGCACGTGAGCAGGACGCGGGGTGCTGGGCTCCATGTGCAGGGCTGAACAGGGAGCTCAGTTCTGGGGATGATCACGGCAGGGACGCTGTGCAGCACTGCTCTGTGATGACTGCGCACGTGTCTGTGCCGAGGCACTGGGCTCTGCACAATAAGCTGTTGGCTCCTCTCATCCTCCATGCTGGGAGGCGAAAGATAACATGTCATAACCTCATCTGTCTTTAGGAAGAGTTTTGCTTGAGTACTCCTCCCCGCGCTGCCCATTTCTCATCACTCTGATAGCAAGTGCCCCCAGGCTGTGCTTTTGGGAGGTTAGGCAGGGTGTGCCTGCCTGGGGGAGTTTGTCTAGAAGCGCCTAGAGCAGTGCGATGCCAAATCCCCTGCGCTGCTCTCCCGCCTCTGAGCCACGGACTTTTGGAGACGTTGGCTACCAGTGGTGCTGGCTCCTCTGCTCTCCTGCCCCGAAGCGGCAACCCTGGGGAAGCGGCTGCAAGGCTCAGATGTTAGGGGCTGCAGAGGGTTAGGATTTTTGTGCGGCCCCACGTGCACGTGCGGAGGGTAGCTGCTGTGCTGCCCACCCTTCCCTAACCCCTCAGCCTCCAGGCTCGGGCTGTCCCGGGTCACCAGCAGCCGGCCATGCCGTGGCACTGGGGGCTGGCAGCCTCCCACCCTTCACCTGCCCTGCCCAGGACTGCTGGGTGGCGTACGCCTTTTCCCGTGAATTTGCTGCCCCGGTAGAGGTGACAGCCCCGTAGCCACCGCGTCCCCTCCTGTGGCCTCTGCCCTGTCCCCGTGGGGGCCACCGCAGGTCGCTGCCCCGCCGTGCCCTGTTTGCAGAGCGGGTGCCGGGGCCGCGCGGCTTTCGCCCTCGGTGCCGTTCCCCTGCTCCGCTCCCCCAGCCGGTGGCAGGAGCCACGCTGTCCCCACTCCGCAGCTGTGTGCAAGGACTTCTGAGCAAGCCTGACGCAGCGGCGGGACGTCGGCCACACTCCTCTGGGTGCCGGGTCCGGGGGCCCGCGGGGTCCGGGCTGCCTCTGGGTCTGCGGGAGACCTGTCGCTGTGGTGCTCGGTAAGAAAGATGGATCCTGCCGGGGCTGCATGCTGCTGGGCCTCCTGCTATGTGGCAGTGGATACGATCGGACTGTGGGCTGAGTGGAGGTCTTGAGAGTATCTGGTTTAATGCAAAGGCTGGTTTCTGATCATATTTGCACCCCATTTATGGACTTTGGCAGTTAGTCTTGGGTTTTTTCTAGGCTGAAGTAAGGAACCATCTCTGTGTTTCCGTAGCCCAGAGCAGGGATGGTGAGCCACAGACACCGACAGAGCGTTGAGAACAACAGCCTGTGCTGCTTTTAGCGAGGGATTTGCCACTGATGCTCAGGAAAGTCCAGTCACCATTAGGTACTAGGGAGGCTCTCCTGTCCTGGCAGCAGAGGGCAGGGCAGGAGCCATTTGGTCCCCTCCTCAGCTGGGGGTGTGTGCTCTCAAGGATGATGCTCTATAATCCTTGCAGCTTGTATCACAGATGTACATGTCATTAGTAAACTCACAGTTGCTTCTTATCTCGCTTTTGCTGGTGTCGGTAAGCAGCAAGCTCACTGACTGCAGAAGAGTTGCTCTTATTTCACATTGGAGAAAATGTAAGCAGGATCTGATCCTTGTGACAGCCTCCCGTGCCCCATGAACCTTGCTGAACAGATGCTTTGAGAAGGCCCTGCAGCCCACACAACCTGGAAGTTAATTAGAAGGTGTAAAGAAGCCAACTACCTTTCAACAGCTTGAAATGAAAGGCATTTTGACTGCTGTCCTGGAGTTGATCAGTATTTCTCTTGCTACATCTTTCCTTGCCTATCTCCTTTTTGCAGCTGGAGCGAGCAGTTCTCCAGCAGCGTTTGGGTTTGGAAGCAGCCGTGGTTGAAGCAGCCATGCCTGTGCACATAGCTGCTTTTAGATTGGCTGGAAAACACTTACTTCTACTGCTAATATTTTCCTGTCCATCTTGCAGATATGACCTATTCCAGTAGCAGCCCCCACGCACTAATCTAACTGTGTTTGTTCCTTAAGCTCTACCTTGGCACTGCTGTTCCTCACTGAGCCCTGATTTTCTGTCTGCTCCCACAACCGCCCCCGCCTCCTGCCATTGAAATGCAACGCAGGATTTCAGCTGCCAACTAACTGCTGGCTCATATTGTGCAACCAGAGAATTTTTCTGTGTCCTCTTGCTCCTCCTTTTGTAACGCAGCCCAGCCTGCTTGCTTTCTGATTCCTTCTTCCCCACCTTGAACTGCAGTTTATGTGCTTGGCTGCTGCTTGCTTCACAATGAAACCAAGAAATATAAATGCAGTGCAGCTGTCTGCAGCATCACCTGCAATTCTGCCTGCTGCAGCTCAGGCAGCACCTATGAGTGTCCAAGTGCTTTAAAACTGTCCTTCCTCTAATAAGTGTTATCAGCTGCTTTTTAACAACATCTCTGTTAGCTGGTCGCTCTGTTTCACTGTTTGCTCTTGAGATTGTCCTTCTCTCATTTGCCTTAAGGTAAAACAGCAGAAGAGCTCAAACAGAGGATGTTAACTTCCCAGCAGTAGGAGCTCCTGTGTGATGGCAGTTGGGAACAGGCAATAAGTCTGCTGGAAGAAAAGCTGTAGGAGAATCTCTAATGGCCTCTTTCTTTGGTGCCAAAACCCCAGGTGGCTTCTTTCTTGTCTCTCACTTCTCTTTTGCTCCTTTTCTCACCTGAGCAGACCTGAATAAGCCCTTTTTGCCCTGGGAGAGGCTGAGGATACCACCAAGTTTTGCTTTCAAAGACCACTTTCATTCTCTTCTTCTGATTCCTGCCTCCCCGCTCTAGTTGCAGCTTGTTCCCAAATAAAGACAACAAATGTCACTCTCCTGCATTTCTGCTGCGTGTGTTCGGCACATTGGACCCAACTGGTAAGAGTCCACAGTACTTCAGGGTTGTCCTTGGCTTTCCTTGCCTTTTGTGGCCATACTTGAGGGATCCCATGATGGTAGGTAGCTAGGTAGGGTAAACTTAGCTCAAAATTTGTGACCAAGGGGAGGTTGGGATGCCTCATTCAAATATTAAGGTATGGAATTTGTTGGTGTGGTCTGTGTTTATTGCTGCCTGCATTCTGCCTGCTGTCTTTCCAGTGCCTGGGGGAATCCAGGTATATTCTTATTTTCTCGTGCTATATCTCATGGGGAAAAATGTGACTGCCTCCACGCAACAAGCCCACTACCAAGTCCAGTACTATTTCATACAGAGCTGTCTGTTGCACTGGGCACAAAGGAAGCCCCCTTCTTTCTGTGGGAAGACGACAGGCTGGGGGTATGTCTGCAAAGGGATCTTCAGGCCTGGAAAAAGGCACCTCCTCAAAGTGATGAGGGTTGAAAATAAAGTAGGGCACCTCTAGAAGAAACTGGCAAGGTCAGAGGGAGCTGAGAAGGGAAGGGGATGGTGGTGGGTGAGTGGGTCCAGGGGGTGGACCATGGACCGCATCAGGTGGCATCTTAACAGTTGGAAAAACTTTATGGCAGAGGCGAAAAAAAAGGCTGGGAATGAAGGAGTCAGAGGATTTTTCTCCAAACTTTGGTGAAGCAACAGGAGAAAAAGTTCAGGCAGGCAGCGAGGTGCAAAGTCTTTTCTCTGAACTCCTATATTAAGGAGAGGGGCATCCAAAGGGAGAAGAAAATGTCAGCCTGTCGGGGAGGATGTAACACAGTGGGTGGCTGTGGCTGCTGTGGGAGAGCCAAATTGTTCCTAGCTGGAAACAAAAAGTTATCTGAGTCTCCATCTGGACTGAGAACATATAGGGCAGGGGCACAGTAGAATTAGATGTTCAGGAAAAGAGCCAGGAGGTGTGTGAATAGGCTTTCTTATAGAAACAGCAGGCAAAGCAGAGAGGGAAGTAGTGGGGATGTGCAATCCTGTGTGTCACTTTGTCTGGGAAGGGAGAAGCTGAAACCTGTGGCACGAAGGACCAGAACTTCAGGCACCAGTTTAATCTACCACCTGTTCCCAGTTGAAAAGGTTTGATTCAGTAACCAGGGCGCTTTCCCCCTTTTTGAAACAGGAAAATGAAGCCACAAGTGCAGCATCCCACCTTTTGGTCTGTTTTTGTCGCAGCCCTGTTCCCCATTGCAGCATCCCAGCTTCGGGTTGTCCTGTTCGGGAGCCAGGGGACATGTGCAGAGCCAGGGCCCTGGTCCGGGTGTCCCTGAGGTGGAGGCTGGTGACAGGGCTGAGGCTGTGGGCTGGCACTCCTGGGATTCCCTTCCTGGGGTTAGGTGAGAGGAGGTGACTCCCTGATTGTGATCTCCCCTTCCCCCGTGTGTGAAATAGGTCTAGCACAAAAACAGGCGAAACACAAATATTAGTAGAAATAGGCTGACTTTTAGAGTCACCTCGCATTAAAAGAACAAAAGCAAACAATTAGATAAGTCCCCTCCTGTCAGCTTCTCATGACATCCTCAATAAGCCCAGACTTAAGCATGATTGTGCTTGATAATGTGCCTCGGATTGCAGCGAATTGGAACGTGCCAAGGACTGTGACAGATCAAACGCGTTTCATTAAGTATGTGTTATTTTTTCCCTCACATTTGACAGTGCGTGGAGCTCTGCTCCTCTCAAAGATGAAGAGGCTGTGCTGCAGCATCTGAATGAACCGATTAGCCAGCTGACAGGCCTTGCTGCAAGCAGGCGGTGGGGAAGGGGGTCTTGCCTGGGCTTCAGAAGCTGAGGAAAGATTGGCGGGAGGATCTGATGTTTCTACCTCCCGATCCAAACCAGCAGGCGAGCTAAGTGAAGGCGACAAAGTTGGGACTGGGAGGACCTCTGTGCTGGTGAGTTGGTGAGCCGCAGAGCTGCTAGCTCTGTACCAGCCAGCTTTTAGGGTGTATGCCTTGATTTCTGGGCTGCAGCACTTCCTTTAAATGTGGGGTTAGAGGTTTGTATAAGCCCGTCAGGGGACTGATTCAGCTTCACGCTCAAGTGTAAATCCACACGGGTTGTAATGCTTGGTGTGTTTGGGGCAGTGCAAACCGTACCAGTAAATAGGTACTTTCCAGCGTATGGGCCATAAAGGACAAGGACTGGGGAAAAAAGAGAGGTTACTTCCTTAGTGCCCTGGCTCATCTGCATTTGACACTGAAACTGATTGTGCCCACTGCAGTACTGCCCATATATAAGGCCTTACTGGAAACAACTAAAAACCCCTCTTAAATTTAATAGGGGACCAGAATCTTTCTGCAGTGTTTTTGAAAACACAACTATACAGCCTGGAGGATGGTCTTCACTGATGCTTGACTGCCTTCCTCCGTGGTTTATGCTCCCCTGTCCTTGCTGCAGCCCCTCTTACTAAAGGTAGCATTAATGCTTTGCATGGGATCCAGCCTACTGGTTCAGAGTCCATGGAAATCTGCTGCTGATTACAGAGGGAATGAGATGGGCCCTTCATCACTGTCGGGGTTTACCCCAGCCAGCAACTAAGCACCCCACAGCCGCTCACTCACTCCCCACTCCGATGGGATGGGGGAGAGAATCAGAAGAGTAAAACTGAGAAAACTCGTGGGTTGAGCTAAGAACAGTTTAATAATTGAAACATAATAATAATAATAATAATAATAATAATAATAATAATAATAATAATAATAATAATAATAATAAAAAAAACAGAAAAAGGAGAGAGAAATAAAACCCAAGAAAGATAGGTGATACAAATGAAAAACAATTGCTCAGCACCAACCGAGTGATGCCCAGGAGTCCCTGAGCAGCAGCCCCTGGCCAACCTTCCCCCCTAGTTTATATGCTGACCATGACATCATATGGTATGGAATATCCCTTCGGTCAGCTGGCGTCAGCTGTCCTGGCTGTGTCCCCTCCCAACGTCTTGTGCACCCCCAGCCTCATCCCCTCAGCCTCCTCGCTGGTGAGTCAGCATGAGGAACAGAAAAGGCCTTTACTCTGCATAAGTACTGCTCAGCAATAACTAAAACATCCCTGTGTTTACACTGTTTACAGCACAAACCCAAAACACAGCCAAAACTAGCTACTATGAAGAAAATTAACTCTATCCCATCTGAAACCAGCACGAGCATGAAGGGAAGTGGGGGAAAAAAGGCTGTTGTTGCCCTGGGCATTTAGAGAGCAATTGGTGTATTACACTGTGAGATCTGGTTTCCTTTCTTTACTTAAATGAGAGCGGGAGGAAACATGCCTTGCACCAAAAAACTGCTTACTTGCTTATAAACAGTAGAACTTGTCTTCATATGCATGCATCTTTCTTTGCCCCAGGACTTGATATATCCAGAGGGTTAGCATTTAGGAAATAATTTCATTTACACTGAGAAACTTACAGAAGCAATGAGACATGGTGATAGCAGATGTCTTGTGTGGAGGAAGTGCAAGCATGACCAACCAGTTCCTGCTCCTGTTTCCCTCTTGCCTCACTGAAAACTACACCAAAACAAGTGTTTCTGTGCCAGTTTGATGTTAGGGCTACTTATTATTCCCTGTTAGGTCAGACTCCCTGGTAGTGCCCACTCCCCATGACATGGCTCATACCCTGATGCTAGCCCAGAGAGAGATGACTGGAGAGACACTAGGCACAAGGAGGAAGGGAATAGTTTGCCATCATGGTCCTGGCACACCACCCTGGTGCAAAGGGTTGATGGATGGGTTTGGTGGTCCTGTCAGGTAGAGGATATCAAGGGTGATGAAGTCTTGCTCACCACTGACTTGCTGACTGGGAGAGGTCCCTGGCCTGAGCTGCCTCCAGAGCTGTGCTTGGACTTTGTGGGGAAGAGACCAAGCTGAAGTTGTCCAGAGCAGATCCAGCAGCAGCAGAAGAGTTAAGTAGTGTGAGTGATGCACATTGCTGCCCCTGCTGCTCCCTGGAGATGGTTATGTCCCCTTAGGAGGCATGAAAGGAATGATAGATATGCCAATAAAAAAACTATCAAACTACCAGAAAACTGAATCTGTAAGTTATTGTGAAGCCCTGGTTTCTTAGCACTCTCAGCTGGTGAGAATGGAAGCAGAGATGTTGCTGCTTTGGAGAGACTTGTTTCCAGTACAGTTTCCTAATCCCAGAATGGGAATGTGTATCCCTTGCTGATGCCAATCACCCCTTCAAAGGCAAACTTCTGCATAGTTATCCCACCAGTGAGATGTAGCTAGAGTTAGGGCTTCCCTGGCATAGTTCATCAGCTACCCTGCTCGTGTCAGGTCTGTGCTTTCTGGCTTGACTCGCATGTGCCTTTCTACCTCAGGTAACTCATTAGAGCAAGCTTTTGAGGAGAATTTTTTAGCTGAGTCAAAGGGAGCTTTCTCTCTTCACACTGTGTGTTTCTTATAATCAAATGCCTGTAAACGATATGAAGATGTTGTCAAAAGTAAGATTCAGTCTGGTCTGTGTGAATTTTGTCTGGCTTTATATTAACTAGCCAATTAAAGGACTTTTTGTATGACAGAAAATTCTACCTTGTAACGAGCAGCCACTAACTTTGTTTAATTAAGATGATGCTAAACATAATCCAGGATTTCATGTAGGCTGGAAAGTGTCTCCCTTGTACTCTACAGGCCCAGTCACCTTCACCGTGCCTCCCCCAGCAGTGACTTTGCTCCATGTTTCCACAGCTGGGCTTTTTCCTACTAATATTTTCGCTGCAATAATTGAGTTTGTCTAATCTCAGCACTCCCTTGCCCAGATCTGAAACACTTCACAAGTATGAGGTCCTTTTGCTTATCTCAGGGGCTTTGTTTCCTTGCTCTGTATTCTTTGCAGGGTTGGGCAAAGGTGTGGGATTCATGCTCATGCCTGTTTGTTACTGAAGGGAACCTAGGTCAAATAAACTTGTGTGCATTTTGCTGAAGTGGCAGGCTGTACAGTAGTGTAACATGGTGTCCAGGGGGTCAAAGACAGCGCTCCTGGCAGTGCCTTGAAGTAAGATGGTAAATTGTCCATTCTTGTTCAGACTATTAGTCCGTAACACTTCTATCCTGCCCTCTGAAACACTCCAGAAGGAGACAGTTGATGTATAAAGCACACGAGGAAGGCAAACTCCTTCTGCCCCCGTGCCCTGCTCCAACTCCTTTTCTCTTCCTCTGAACCGGTGTTTCCAAAGTCCCAGCCAAGTTTCCAGCAATGATGGAGATGCAGAGCATTTAGTCAGGGTGCAGGGGGGCAGATGGAGGTACACTAAGGCTGCTGGTCTGGGAAGGATGAGGAAGGGGGCTGTGGCAGGGGGAAGGGTGAATTCAGGGGTGAGTCCAGTGAAGGGGTGGTGTGGGTGAGCCCGTCTCACCTGACCAGTGACCTTTCCTCTGTCCCTTCAGCACAGACTTTCTGTCCCAAGGAAATAACTTGGGGAAAATGCTTTGTGCTGACACTACAGAAGCCATTTTCCAGAAGAAACCTCACTGTGATACTAGGAACACGTCTCTTGTGGTGACTGGTTCCCTCCCTCCTCTTCCCACCAGTGTGTCCTGCACCAGCTCCCTACGTCCCATGTTCTCTTTTTCCTCTGTCCCACAGAGCTATGACAAGAGCTGTGGATAAGGAAGGAGAGCCCAACAGGGCCATCACAGCTTCTGAAGAGATAAAGAAGGAGGAAATGGAAGAGAGAGGCCAGTGGAGTAGCAAAATGGAGTTTGTGCTGTCTGTGGCTGGGGAGATCATTGGTCTGGGTAATGTGTGGAGGTTCCCTTACCTCTGCTACAAGAACGGTGGTGGTAAGTTCACATCATGCATGAGTTGTCCTAGGTCTGTAGGCATGATGAGACATATGGGTGTCCCATTTCACCTATGCCTCATGTGTCCCTGCATGCACTCCCTTATTCTCTCCTCCAGAAAGTTAGGTCCTGTCAAAATCAGGAGGAATAAAAACTGAGGTGTGAATCGAGCTCCCCAGTGGGTTCTGTTTCTCAAAACAGCTCTCCCAAGTTTGGATGCCATATTGAACTTTAGTAACTCTTTAAGATTCTTGGGCATCTTGAGAAACAGGTGGTCTTCCAAGACCATCAAGTACTGTGAGTGGTCAGGAAGCCATCAGAAAACTCATACATAATTCCCTTTTCCCACTCTCTGTGTCAAGCTCACCTCTCTCAGGCCCTTGTTACAGAGGAAAGGCTTTGAGGGTGCTGGTATCCTTGCAAAGGCCTGATACCCCCTAGAAGGACATTGCTACCTTTTCCCCAGGAACAGTTCTCCCAGTGGTCAACCCACTGCTAGGGAAACCCATCCCCAGGAAGAGTTCATTCCTCTTCCTTTTTGCTTCTTGTGTTACCCTCCTTTTCCAATAATGCTGCAATAAGGTAATTACATGGTTAAAAATTAAACTTTCTCATAACAATAAAATGAAACTGGGAAAGAGGAAGAGAATAATTGACTGTCACTAACTTTTCTTGGTGAATCAAAATCTAACTTTATATAAAAAAAAGGAGGAATAATAAATTACATGTCAAATACAGCAATAACTTCTCTTTCATTCTTGTTCTCCAGAAACACCTTGAAATAACACTTTAGGACTTGCATGTTCCCCTCACTTTAAACGTTGTTTCTCTGCAGACCATGCCATAAAGGACTTTCTTTCCAAGGTGCTGTGAGCTTTCACCAATGGATGAGTGATTCAGCTGTAGTTCATCCCAGGACTACCAAATTCCTGTCCACTGTGCTGTTACTGGAGTTTATCCAGATCAAGCAGGAGTCAATACAATGTCTACTCTGAACCAAACGGGGGTTGGATAAGAAGATGGCTAAAGAGAATGGAATTGAGTTTTTTCTTGAACCTGGGATGGTTTTTAACAGGTCCTCCAGTCTCCTTCTCTGACGTTTTGATAATAGGTACTGGAGGCACCAAAAGCAAGTCAAATTGGCATGGGTTAGTAAACACCAGTGGTGCATCTGATTGAACAAGCCATTCTGCAGTGATGCTTTGAGAGAAAAGTCATGGTTTTTGCATGGAAAATTCCTTCCTGAGCTCAGATGATATCTTTGCATAGTTTATGCCTATGGTATCCGGTTCAGTAGTCCTTCCAATTGGTATGGTAATTAGTGTAAGTGGAAGGCTACTTTTGTTCATTTTAGATATCTATTGAATAACTTTTTTTGTGTGTGTTTTTTTTTTAATTAAACTACTCTAGAATATCTAAGGCTGTGATTCAGAGGCCAATGGGGCTAGGCTTGGAAAAGCTTAGGGTGAGAGAGTCTTTCCCTCACAGTGCCTTTGCAGAAAGCATGCTACAACTGTAGAAGGTATGTTTCTCTCTCTAAGGCTCTAGGGAGCCAGATGGCAAACAGACTAGTGTGCGACAATGCACTGCCTTTCCCATGACACTCAAAGATATTCTCGCCATTAGAAAAGTCCTTGAAATTGCAATCCAGACATTTTCCACCGATAAATGTTGTGTGTGACACCCCCTTCCCATCCCCACCCCTATCCCCAAACTGGAGACTACTGTCCTACCACCTTTCTCCACCTTTGGATGTACTGAGATGGTTATAAAGCTATAAAGATAGATATCATAAAAACAATTGTATTAACTTGCTGTAAAACTACCAAGTGTAAACGTATCTATGGTTGCACTTTCAAATTTGATCTAAATGCTCAGCATCCTGAACTTGCTATTGGCTCACAGGGAAAGAGGGTCTGTTTCTAGGGGCCCCTCTTAGGGCTAACTCTCATCCAGTGGAGCAGCAAACTGGAGAGGAGATCACAACTGGAGTTTGAGCTGGTAACTGCTCTGGGAAGGTTAAGAGAGACAAGACAATAGATGTGTAAGAAAGCCATCATTACTCAGAGACCAAAATGGATCAACCTGTGGGAGAAATTGTATCAGAGAAGAGGGTCTGGGACCTGCTGAAAGAAATAGTATCAGAGGAGAGGGTCTGGGACCTGCTGAAAGGCTCATCTGTGTGCAGGATAGTAAAACTGTCTTGCAGATTGGGCATGCAGATAGGTGTCTTGCAGCACCGAAAACAGCAACTGCTTCTAGTTCAGCATACCTGATCTAGTGGATGGTTGAGCAACCTGATGTAGTGGAAGCTGTCCCTGCCCATGGCAGGGAGGGTGGAACTAGATGATCTTCAAGGTCCCTTCTGGTTCTATGGTTCTATGATATGTAGTTCCCATTCCCTGCTCTGCAAACCTGGACTGAGGCTGTGAACCAGCCTTCCTCCCTCTGGCCTCAGGACCCCTGCAGCTACGGCACAGCTGTGTTTCAGGGAAATTTGGATGATCCTTGTTATTGTAGCATTGTTGGCTTAGAAACAAGGGGAAATGTTCCTGGTTGCTAATTGTCATGGGAAAGAATTTCAGTGCGAATGCCTATGCTGGCAGGGGAGGAGAGGGCCTGGGGGAGAATGTCTGGCTCAGCTGAGAAGGGGGCCCTTGTCTTGGTTGCAAACAGCCGAGATGCTTCTCCAGGCAGCAGTGGTGGGAGGTACTCAAGACCAGAACATCACTTCATGGGTTGGCCGGACCTTGACAGTTGTTCCAGTGAGGAAGGCAGTGGCCTTGGCCTGTTTGGAGGGGAGTGAAAGTGTGAAAACCTACATTAACGATGGGGAGAAAGGCTGAGAGGTGATAGAAGGAAGGTCAGCAGCGAAACTGAGATCTCAAGGGCTGTTTTGAGCAGAGCAGCAAAAATATTGGGTGTTTCAGTTTGGAAGCAGAACTGAAAAGAAAGAGAAAAAAGGTTCAGGCAGCTGAACAGGGCATAAAACCTTTTTGTTGTTTTTGTTTTGTTTGTCTTTTCTAATGCTTTGGTTTTGTTGGTCATTGTTTCTGGGGAAAAAAACCCTGCTCTCTCTCCCCTTCCTCTTCCATTTCATCAAGGGTTAATCTGAAGGCTATTTCAGACTGATTTCTCTTAAGACATTTCTCTATACTTTAATAAAAAGCTGAATTTAAAGAGAGAAGTTAAACTTTTTCATTTTGAAAATGCTGGAGAGGTACTCTGTTGCCCTTCCCCTATTTCTATTCTTTCAGTGCAAACTGCTTTCCAAATTTGACGTGAAATATGTCTCAAGCAAATTTATATCCTGGCAAATTTATTACTTACCAAGAAATGTCACCAGCCTCCAGGTTTGTATCCTCTGGGCAAGTGGGAGTTTTGCTGTGACTCCTGGGAATGGCAGAACAAATGTGCTTATGTGAAACAAGGACTCCTTTTGCTTTGCCTGACTCCTGCTGAAAGCTAGAAATGAGGTCAGGAGAATGAAGCAGGGACAACTTCTCCAGCACTGTCTTTTTTTATCCCCTTGCCTGGCTACTCCTTGCCTCTAGGTTTTGGCCAAGACCAAATGCAGAAGTACTGCAGTAGCACAAGACAGATCATGCTTGTATTTTTTTCAGAGAAATTATGGTATTGGAGTTTTTTTTTTTTTTTTTTAAAGCAAAGGTTGCACAGTTACGTCAGAGACATATTTGCGTTTAGCTAGCCAATTCCAGCTGTGGCCCCAGGTACCTGACAAGGGGTGGTGGGGATAGAGTTTTAAAGGGGTTTCTGAGGGAGCATCTTACCTGTCTCTGCAGGAGCCTTCCTTATCCCTTACCTCATCTTCCTCTTCACCTGTGGGATCCCCCTGTTCCTCCTGGAGACAGCACTGGGGCAGTACACCAGCCAGGGAGGGGTCACTGCCTGGAGGAAGATCTGTCCCATCTTTGAAGGTCAGCCAAGTTACGGAAATTACTGGCAACACTTTCTAACAATTAGCGACTCGGAGACTTTTTTGGAAATGTTATTCTGTTTTTTTTTTGTTTGTTTGTTTGTTTGTTTGTTTGTTGTTTTTTTGTTTGTTTGTTTGTTTTGTTTTGTTTTGTTTTGTTTTGTTTTCTTTTTTTTTTCTTTCTACTTCATTCTCCTTCACTTCTCCTCTCTCCCAGCCTTGTTATCCCTCCTGGTGACTGCTGTGTGGGCAGGGAAGTGCCCCGACCCCCCAGTTGTGAGGGTGTGTGGTGCTGGCTGGGGACTGTGCTGGTCCAACTGAGCCACGGTCTCTTAGATGCTCAGAGCTCAGGAGAGAGGAGAAGCAGGATGTCCAGCAAGCAGCAGGATGGAAGTGTCAGTACACAAACACCTGCATGTAGTCAGGACAAATACCAAAGAGAGAAGAGGATGAGGAAGGCTTATGGTGCTTTCCCTTTCCACCACTGTGCCCACGGCTGCTGTGGCAATATTTGCAGACTGGTGTCATGCAAACTGGGGGAATCACACTGCATGCACTGACCTGACAGCCTGGAGATGGGCTGGGGTTGTGGTTAAGTCACAAGTATAAGAACAGGGACTCCTGGGGTCCCTGGGGGAAGGTTATTTAATGGTGTTAATATGTCAATGAATCTAACATCCACAATTCTCCTGTCCAGAGGAGAGCTTATTACCCAGGTTTTGCAGATGGAGAAACCTGTGCTTAGGAAGATTAAAGGCCTGGTGAGTTTGCTCAAGCACAGGTGTACAGAGCTATTTGGAACTCCCTGGGGAGTCCAGGACCTCCTGAGCTGGGACACCCCTGTGCTCTGGCACAGCGCCTGGTGAAGGACAGCAGTAGCATCTCAAAGGGAATGGACAACCAGTTTTAAACAAATTAATTGGGACTTTCTGATCTGATTACCATTCTGATGTCTCAGCAATGGGCACAAGCAGGACCCAAGACCAGAGCTCAGCTCCTAAGTCTGTACTTTTGCCCCAGCACCATACTTTATGCATGATGTATGTCAGCTGTGAGAACCTTTTTTTTCTTAGTCTTTCCAGAAGGAAGAAACTCACCTGCATTTCTTTATTTGTTTTCTTTAAAGGCTAGAGCTGGCTTTCCTGCAGGAGAGGCAGTGTAATGCAGTGGCATGGTAGTGGTCAGAAAAAAGTTTTCCCATCACCAAAAAGTATTCTCCCTGTTCCACCATAGACCTGTCTAGAGATATCAACAATGTTTCCTGTCTGCATGCACAGTCACAAAATCCTTTCTTTTTCCCTGATGTAGGCCTTGCCCTATTCTCTAGTGAGCCATGTGGTTGGTGTTGCACCCTTCTTACCATGGCATGGTCTATGTCTTTGCTTAGGGTTAAGCCCAACGTGCTGGGAGTTGGTTGGCAGCCCCAGCCTCACCTCCTCTGCTTTCCTTCACAGGAGTTGGCTATGCCTCGCAGGTCATTGAGTGCTATCTGAATATCTACTACATCATCATCCTGTCCTGGGCACTCTTCTACCTGTTCAGCTCCTTCGCTGCAGTGCTACCATGGGCCAGTTGCAATAACGCCTGGAACTCAGGTACACCTTCCCTTGGTCAGCTTCTAGCTCCTTCCCAATTCCCAGAAATTATCTGGGTTTTGTAGAGAATATTTTTTATTCAGATAAAAAGCTCTCATGAGCTGCAGTGTGGCTAGGGACTCCTGCAAAGGTGACTGTCTTCATTTACCATGGGCAAGTGTCAGGAAGGGTGAGTGGTATGACTATGCCTAGCAGCAGGGGACAGCAAAACTATTTTGGCATGGAGATATTTTAGGTGTTGAAGATGTCACTGAAAAACCTGCGTTTTCTGGCAAGCAGGAGAGTTAGGTGGGTTGGGAGAGTTTTCAAGCCAAACTGGAGTCCTCCTGATGTGGCAGGAGCTTTTCATTAGCTCTGGTACAACAATTTATCTTACAGTTCCCTTACTCTACATGACTCCTTTGGAGTTACTGGGACAGTTGCTGCCATGTACTAAACGGCTTCCTTTGTGCACTCAGCTTTTGGCTAAATCAGGCCAAGTCTGTGCTGGATGATTTTGCCAGTACATGTCTCCCAATGCATGAACAAGTTACACACAACCCTAGAAGCGCTGTTTTTCTGGTCTAATCACATCCATACAAGCCCCTATACTGGCCAGGGTTCCCATCTCCTCACGCCCACAATTCGCATAACTGCCCAGCAGAGAAGACCTGGTTTTGGTTTTATTCAAGGCATTTGGACTGTGCCTGGGAAGATGAAGTAGATGTGAGGTAATCCTCATGGATCTGATGTCCTTGACAGGCCTTTTTTTACCATGTTCAACAGCTTCTTTTGCTCTCAGTGGAAAGCCAGGCTGGAAAGAGCTTTGGCGGCAGCTTGGTTCCCTCCCTTTTTCTCTTGGGTCTGATGATTCATTTCTGTGATGTGTTAAATTTCTCCACCCCATGGGCCATTCACTCACAGCTTCCTCTGCCCCTTCAGCTCAGCAGAGGTAACCAGCCTTTTAAAGAGTTGATGTGATTCCTTCAGCTTCCCCAGCATGGGTTTGTTTGTGAGGAAAGCCACAGATGTTCTCTTAACAGGCAAAATCTTCCCAGCCAGAGCCGGGCTTCCTCGGTTTTCCGGTGGATTGTCTTTTGCTTGCCAAGTGTAAGATGAGGTGCATTTCACGGATGGGTGGCATCTCCTCTGGTTTTAGCAATTTCATGCTATGTGACAGGGTTGGGGATGGCAGAGTGGGACATGAAGGCATCTGTGGTGTGTGTGAACATATGTATGCATGTGTAGACAGGGAATGGTGTGTGGTGTGGGAGGCGAATGGGATTTTCTATCCTGGCTAGTCATAGCGGCTATCCCTCAATAATGTATATTTTGCAGCCATCTGGTTTCCATTTGGCAGGGAATTGCTCTCGCCTTCCCCTCTCCCTTTCCCGAAGCCCTCTGGCTACTGCTGGATTGGGATTCGTAGCTGGGGAGAGCCAGAGTTTAATGAGATGCTTAATGAGATGCAAGAGTTTAATGAGATGCTCTATAGCTTGGGGTGAAGGGTCTGTGTGCTGCCAGAGTGAGGGTTAGGGCACAGAGGGGAAGGAGCATCCCTCATGGAGGAGCCTTGGAGAATTTCTCTGGCTCATCAGCTTCCTTTTCTTTTGGTAGATCTCTGTGTGGACATTCTGAATAGCTCCAGCCTGGACAACAGGACCTTGCCTGCGAACGCCACCTCCCCAATGATTGAGTTTTGGGAGTATGTGATCACTTTCCCTCTGTTCAGGCTCGTCTCTCATCTAAAGGCTGCAGCTGTAGGAGTATCCGGGCGGAGGGCTGTGCATCTCTGTAGGACCAAGTGAGGTGCCACGTGTCAGACCTGAACACGGGGAGCACAAGGCACCGAGCTGCCAGGGAGATCGGCACAGAGCCCATGAGGGCTAGGTACACGCCGAAGGCTGCTCGCAATGCGCCTGCCCAAGGGCGTGCGCACACGCACGAGTGTGTTCCCGTTCTGGCATTGACGTGTCTGGGTGAGCGTGGCCACAGAAAGAGGCACCAAAAGAAGATGAGGACTTGCTGTAATCAGGGGGTACTGGTGCTGGGTGTTGCAGGCTACTGTTGGCAGGCAAGCATGAGAGGCCAGGACAGACTGAAGAGTCGTCTACAGTGAAACGGAAAGGGAGAAAACCGCTTTTCGCCTTCTCCTGACCATGTCTTGCTTGGTGCCTAAGGGAGGTGGTCCTTCAGGCTGCTCAGGCTCATCCCTGGTGAGCAGGGATCTGAGGCACGTGTGAGATGCCAGAGAGGAGCTCAGGAAGGTTTGGTCATGGGGCTGAAGGCACTAATACACCTCTGAGGGAGGGCTCCTGCAGCAGGCCAGACAGTGTCTTAGAGAGGGTCATCACTGCAGTCTGGAGAGGTTGAAATGGCTGCTGGGGCCACGCTACCTCTCCACACTCAGCTGAGGAAGCTCTCATAGGAAGAGGTGTGCCAGGGCCTCAGCTTCAGCAGTATTTATTTTTTCCCCATTTATGGCTCCTGAAGTGCCTCTGAGAAGGCTGAGTGTCCTCTGTCCCTTGCAGCCACCACAGGGCACATAGAAGATGATGTGCACCCGTGAGTGCAGAAGAAGTCTGCACAGTGCTGGACCCCCTCTCCAGCTCTATTCTTTGCACATACTACATAGCGAGAGCTGTGACCCCTCTGAAATGATTGTTCAGATTTTCTGCAGAGGTTGCAAGGGCGAGGGGACTCTGAGGGGACTGGTTTGGAGGAGGGTGTGCAGAGGAATTGTAGGTGTGGGGTTGGGCTTCTGAGGACTTCATGGGCCGCAGTGCTGAGCTCTTATGCAGCCCACCTTCATGATGGTGATTCTTCAAGGAATGGAGCTGAAGGAAGGTCATGGGAATCACAAAGGCCATTTATGCCTCTATATAGGGTGTCCGTAGTGCATGGGGAGGCCAGGGGAAAAGCTGTGGCCATGGGGTGTTGATAGCATTGGTGGCCTGCTTTGGATTGAGTAGTGTCTGTTGGGCAGCTGCCAGGGTGGGAGAGCAATGGGGAGAAAGGGGTGATTTTGTGTTGCGTGGGTCTGACAGGCAGAGTGCCATGGGCGTGGAGAGTGGGAGGGCTCGGGCGAGCTACAGGACACGGTGGAGCAGCATCAGCAGGAACAACAGAAAGGGGAGCCCTAGGCAGAGCTGGGGTGATTGGTGTGACTGGGAGCCCGGGGCAGCTGTGTTGTGGATAGTCTATGAAGTCTTTGGATGGGGTAATATGGGAAAGGTCTGTATGGGTGAGTGGGGTCTGGGGTGTTAATGATTCTCTCCCTGTCCCTGGACACCGGCAGGAAGCGAGTCCTGGGGCTCACGGATGGTATTCACAAACTGGGCACTGTGCGCTGGGAGCTGGCTCTGTGTCTCCTGCTGGCGTGGATCATCTGCTACTTCTGCATCTGGAAAGGGGTGAAGTCCACAGGCAAAGTAGGAACGCAGATTGTCCTCCTGGTCCATAAGCCTCATTGTTACCCATCTTACATTTCTTCTTCAATCTCTTTTTCCTCTTCATGAAGTAGAGGCCGGAGACAGAGCACCAAAGTCAAACCTAAAACCCGGTGGGCCATACTGATTTGCACCAGCTGTGTTTGACCCATAAGAAGAAGAATAAAAGATTAGGTCAGACAGGGAGCGGAGAACAAGGAAAGACCTGGGAGGACCCTTGGGTCACCTTTTCCCTTGCAGATACCCACAGTGGCTGATGGATGCTCTCCAAATGCCCTTGGAAGTCATTCACTCGCTAATGTGCTGTCCTGGTGTGGCTTGCTGGTGTTTTTAACAAGATCCTCTGCAGTGGCAAATTTCCTATCCCTGGCAATAATTAAACACTGGAGCAAAATAGACAAGCTGCTGCCTGTAACCAGCTCAGTGAATAGATAATGAATCTCACCTGCTTCTTTGGGTGGGAGAGGTGTCTTTGTGCTCTCCTTTGTACTCTCCCTGCCTCTGTGGTTTTTGGCTCAGTGGGTCACTTTCTGCATTTTGCTAGTGAGACTGGAGCCAGTGCTTGATCCTGTAGATCAGCTGGACTGGTTATCCTTCTGGAGTGAATGAGTGTGTGATGCCTTGGGGTAGATGTTAGGGACACTGCTGTGGCCTTGACTTGTTCAGGACCTCCTTTTCTCCTGGAGCTGCAATGAGTTGGGTGGGTCATTAATGATGGTTGGGTCTTGCGGGCATCCAGGGGATGTCCCAATAATAAAGAGAAGGGAACCAATTTCTGCAACAGACTTCTTCCTTCAAATCACTACCTCTAGTATTGGCAGATGTTCCCTGTAGTACTGGACACCTGTGTTTCAGTGTCACATTCCATCTCCCACCTTAAAACTGCACTGGGCACTCATTTTAACAGAACAAGACAATAGATTGCTCTGCTAAGTATCTCCCAGTCTTTGCTGATGACTCTGGCTCTTGCTGGTGCTGATGTGTGTCCACCATTTCTCAGGGAGGGAGAGCCAGACTCCACATCTTTGGGGAGAGGGGATGCTCTGCATTTTAAATCTTAAATCTCTGATGCTCCCTGGTTTGAATACCACAGTGCCATCCTCACAAGAGGTATCATTCTGATCTTGGGAGATTGGGTCTGAGAGGCTGTTTGGTCCACATGGAAGCGTAATTAAGTCATCTCAGGTCCCCTTCAGCTCTCAGCCCTCTCCACCAAGTCTGTCCTTTTCCTGGTGCTGCCCTGGCATGCAGAGCATGACTGCACGTGGAGAAAGCCAAAGAAGATCAGTCAGGCTGATTGGGCTGATCGACTCTGGCAAAGTCAGCCCAGAAATTGAGAGGAAATGGTGAGTGCACGTAGTAGCTGGAGTGGTTTTTCTGGGACCACAGAGGATTTTTCCATCACAAGTTTTAGGATACAGGGCTTACTTTTTACCAGCCAGATGTTACGGACACGGTGCAGCAATACAGGGTGGATTTTTCTGTCCTGAGACATACCACAGGTCAGACATGCCAGTTGACTTCTCTGCAGTGAGTCATTTTGAGTTTTACAGGGGCACTGTCAAAAAAATCAGCTTTCTTCTTTTTCCTCTCTGACTACATATTAGGATAAGCAGTAGGGAGGTCCCAGGAATTCTGAGTAAGTGCATAATTCTGGTTAACAGCTGCAGAGTAAACAGGATGTTGTGCTTGACTGAGAGACTGCTTTAATCGGATAACCCTGCCAGACCCTTGTGTTTATGTTTCTGTGATTTAAGGAGTCCAAACTTAAAGAAACAAAAGCAACCTCGGGAAAATAATTTCAAATAACTCCATGAAGACTCATTTTCTTTAAAAGCCTTTTCTTTTATTCATTTTGCCCACTCTTGTGTTCTTTCTATGTTTCCTTTCCTTATGCATTCAGCTGATGTGTATAAATGTTCCCCAGAAGTGATTTCTGAAGGTAGATTTTAGTACTTGTGCCAAAAGTGCTTGCATTCTCATTCAATCAGGGAACAGCAAAAGTGCCACGTGCTGTGACTTATTTGACCAATTATCACTAAGCAGAAAAAAATATCATTTTAGACCCCTCACTATGAATTCATAAGGTAAACAAGTCTTCACATTACTTGCATGAATTTTAATAATGAATAAATGTTAGGAAGTTGCAACTTGCTCATGGATATTTTGCAAATAGAATAAAAAAAAATACATTAGGCAATGGATTAGAGATGATTAATTCTACTGTAATATTTATTTACATCACACAGAAGAAGAAGTGAAAATAAGATTTTACAAAAATAATGGTCTACATTTTCTTTAAAGGCTTTGAGGTGCCCCCATTTTTTACCTGTGAGCTTAGAGGCATTGAAGGGATGAGAAAGCCACATGAGCACCCCTGGAAATGAGACCCCTCAGAGATGTCTCAAATTGGGCAGCAAAAGTTGCTATTTAATTTGGAAAACTCTTGCTGGGAATAGGACCATTTTAATAACTCCTCATTAAAACTCAGTGACAGGAAGAGATCTGGGTTTCTTCTGCAGCTCTGGAAAGATGAAGAGAACAGCTGGAGAGCAGGGAAATTACACTGACTGGAAAGAGAAAATAAAGCAGAGCAACCAGTGGCAGAGTTTTGGGTGAGGAACAAAATGTAGATTAACTAAATCACTGGTGAGATGTAGCCTTGATTAATTTATTTCCCACCCCCTCTTCTACGCTAGCAGTAGCAGCTATAGCCAACAGCAGAGCCCAGGGACGTTTGCTGGGGTGGGGGCCTGGAGATGAGATGAGACGAGATGTTGCCTGCACCCCCTCCCCACTGACCCTCTCTCCTCTTGTTTCCCTGCACCCACAGGTGGTTTACTTCACGGCCACCTTCCCGTACGTGATGCTTATCATCCTGCTGGTGCGAGGCGTCACGCTGCCGGGTGCTGCCGAGGGGATCATCTTCTACCTGAAGCCGGACATTTCCAGACTGGCAGACCCACAGGTGGGTGGGGGTCAGGCAAGTGCTGGCCACAGGAAGGTTTCCAGCGCCCTGGCCCTTGCTGCTAGCTGAGGATCTAGCTGTCTTCTCCGAAAGGAGACTGGCGAACCAGTGAGACCTCCTTAAAAGAGCTGAGAGGGGTCTAGACCCCCTGCACAGCACAGCCTTTTTGCTCGTGTGTCTGCAGCATATGGGCATATTAGGCCGTTTCCACTCATGGGCTCAGCAAATCCAGTAGAGTATATGAAATATTCAGCATGTAACAGATGGTTGTGCTGGGTCTTAAATGCAAATAATTAAGGGGCGGGTGGGGGGAATAATCTACCACTTTTCATTTTTTCTGACCTGGTTAACATTTCCTTTGGCTCCAACAGGGCCCTCCCAGAGAGTGCAGGGCCCTTGTGCTTGCAGAGACCAGATGCACACAGGTAACATGGGCTGTGCCCCAGCTGGGCAGCAGGTTGCCTTCACCCATCCCAGGGGCTGGTCCCACCTGCCCAGGTCAGGGTCTGGCAAAAGGGTCAGCCCCTGCCACCACCAGTGTTGGAGCTCATGGCACCCCACCCTGTCAGGTAGGGTGCTGGGTACCCAGGGAAGGGAAATCCAGATTAGGGCAGAGGGTTCAGCCAAACCCAGGACCTGCAAGGTAGCCCAAGTTGGCAGGAGATGGGCAGCACCCATGGAGGCTGCACAGGGCAGGCAGCAGGGACCTGCCTTGGGGGATCACCCCTGGGGTGTCTGTTCCAGCACCTTTCTGTAGCAGCAGGTTGCTTCCCTTCCCCACGAGGGCTCAGTGACACTGTGCAGGCTGCCTCTGCCATCCCAGGGAGGTGTTAATGCCCCTCCGCCCCCCAAAGAGCATTTAAATGACACTGCTTCTAATTATTCCACTGCTAAATCTTTTTGTGGAGGCAGCCAAGCAATACGCTTAGCCCACAGTCTCAGCTTACCTCCCGCATCTTCCCAGATGGCCAAAGCCCCAACTGCTCCCAAACCAGCTGCCAAACACACTGTCTTCCCCCAAATGGCTTTCAGATGCAATTATGTGTTGTCAATACAAAATCTGTGGTGCGCTGAACACAAAGAGCCAGCTGAACATAAATGGCATTTTTAATATCAAAATAAATAACAGGGGGGTGACTGGGGCTGAATGTGTTTTATTCATGGTCAGAGCTTATTCACTGAAAACCTCCCTATCTTTCACAGCCTAACGAAAGCTGACGTGGTCTTTCCAGGCTGCTGCAACTCAGTATAGCAAGAGTGAGAAATCCTGCTACTGAGTGTAGGCAGAATGTGGGGCTTTGGTATAAAGCGGGATATGTGCTTGTGCCCATGCCCAAAGGGCTCCCGTGTACATGCCTCTCTGTGAGACATCTGCATGAATTTAAGCAGCGGTGGCTGGGATATTTTGAAGGCTGCTAAACTGCAGCTGTCTGGATGTTTGCAGCTAGGGGCTGCTTAGAGGGAAAAGAGAGCGAGAGGGAACACACAGACAAACAGAAAGGTGGACTGCTTGCCTGCCTGCCTGCTAGCTTGCAGCTCAGGGCTTTCCCTGGGTAGGTGTGAGGGTGGAGCTGCCATTCAGCACACAACACATGGAGTGAAGGGACTTCTCCACGGCGGGGAGAGGGCTGGAGCAGCAGTGAACAAGCCCACTCAGCTTTTCCCGTGAAATGCCAGAGCAAAGGGGAACCTGGGTGCATGACACCCCAATGGCCCAAAATCTCTCAGCCCAGCAATTTTCTGCCCTTCGCCCTGCACCACAGCCACAGAGCTGTGAGAAACTAGACTGGGAAGCAGGGAGGTGAGTGCACTGATCACGCAAAGGACTCGCTGGCCTTCGTTTGGGACGACTCACCAGTGGCTCTGTGAACGCTGAGCCATGTAGGGACAACAGACATCTGCAGTGTCAACTTCAGCCAGAGCCGTGCTATCCAGGATGCTGCCTTCACCTTGAATACAAAAATGCAGGATGGAGAAGTGGTGTCACCTTGAGTGGGATGTGAAAATATGGTCCCCTCAGCAGACTTTTCCTAGAGGACTTTCAGTCCTATAGCTCAGTTTTCCCATAGAGGTATCCCAGTTTCTATATCCACTGAGCCCCTCTTTGTCTCATGGAATTTGTTCTGCATGTATAGAGGGCTTGTTGCTAGACAGGGCACAGCCATTGGTTTGTTTTGTTGCCAGGTCTGGAGACCACTGACCTTCTCTGTTCCAGGTCTGGATGGACGCAGGAACTCAGATCCTCTTCTCTTATGCCATCTGCCAGGGGTGCCTGACAGCTCTGGGCAGCTACAACAAATACACCAACAACTGTTACAGGTAAAAGGAGCCTGGACTCCTTGTATCCTTCCAGATATTTGCTCAGAGACAAACAGTACAGAGCTACGTCTGAGGCAGGCTCTGTCCCCAGGGGAGACCTTGGGTCATGCTGCTTTGACTAATGAGCTGCTCAGTGTGTGGAAGCTGCAGAGGACTCAGCATAGGGATGGAAAGTGGCTGAGGGAACACAGGAGCTCCAGAAAATGGCTTTAGCAATGCTCTCCTGCATGAGTCAACTTGGGAGAGATTGAAGGAGGAATGAAAATGAGAGTGTCTCCAGCCACTGTGGAGACACCATGGGCTATTTTAACGGGATGAGTGAGCAGGGGTGGCAAGGCCAGCTCTGCTGTCACTTGCTAAGCAGGGGAGATGGTACAAAGATGATGGCTGGGCCCCCTGTCTCCAGTGATTTTCTACCATCAGGGTAATGTACTGCCAGTGGCATTTTGATCCCATCAAGGAGATTAATGAAGTCTGTCTGGCCTCTTCCTTGCCCTTGGATTACAGATCTATTTTATCCATAGCCTAACATGGAGCTCAGTGAAGCCATCAGGACCATTTCTGACACCTTCCACAGAGCCCTGAGGAGCAGGGTCTTTTTTATTCCTTCGTGTATTGCTTCATGGATGGGAAAACGTAATGGTACTTGGTAGACATCAATCATCTCTCTTCTTCTGTTCTCCAAGAGGTGCTGCCATGGATGTTGATCAGGCAACTAATACTTTCCCCTGGCTCTCCCAAAATGTATCTGTCACCAGTGGGGCGCTGTGCTGATGCCTTCCTTTAATGCCTTAGGTGCCTTGGTCTGACAGCTTAGCTCTGGGTGGCCCAAATGTGCTGGGTGTCCACGCTGTCCCATAGCAGCTCATGCTGTGGGTCAGCTCTGGCAGCTGCCCAGGCAGGATCCCAGGGTTTGGGGCTTCCAGCCCAGCCAGCTCAGACTGGTGCCCCATTTTCACAGGCAATAAGCGCACAAATATTTCACGACAAGTGGCATAGCATGTTCCAGCCTCCATCTGAGCATAGTTAATAAAGACAGTGTAGACACAACCCTTGTCACGTGAGGATTTTTGTTAATCCATTAGTCCTTGTTTTATCAGACCTGCTGAACCTGTATGTGTTCATGCTTTCAGATGCTCCTCTTTCTTGACTATGTTTACTTTTTCAACCTCTTCCCTTTTCTAATTTGCTGTTTTCATCATTTTATCTGTTGTTTTTCTCATTCTTTTGATTCTTGTCAACATTTTTGTTGCCATGCCCCTATGTATATATCACTGTGGCATCCTATTCACAAGCCACTGGTGGTGCTCTATGCCTCTCTTTGTGCCATGTGTAGTCCTATAACTCTTAAACAGTGGGTACAAGTTAAGTAGGCTGATTTTTGGATCTGTTCTGAGATTTTTACTTCTGAGGGAGTTCCAGAGCAGCACTGCTGTTTCTTGGTCCATGCTGTCTGACTGGGGAAGCTGAGTAGAGACATGATCCCAAGTGAACTAGTTCTGCAGCAGGAAACACTGATTTCTCTCTGGTCTCCCCCCCTGCAGGGACTGCATCATGCTCTGCTTCCTGAACAGTGCCACCAGCTTTGTTGCTGGCTTTGCCATTTTCTCTGTGCTGGGCTTCATGGCTCGAGAGCAGGGTGTACCCATTGCAGAAGTGGCTGAATCAGGTAGGTTTTTCCAGACTTCAGAACCAAGGTAAAAGAGAAAGCCTGAAGGGGAGGGGATATTTCTGAAGTGAAGCTTGAGATGTTATCTACATCCTATATTGCTGTGGCTGTCTGCAGCGAGGTCTGCAGGACCTCTGCTCCCCGACACAGCTTGAGCCTTGTGGGGGCAAGGAGCCGTGGTCATATGAGTTTTGAAACAGCACGTGAGCTCACTCGGTGCTGCAGGGTGGTGGTGGCAGGTGGTGGTGTGAGGGGCACACATGGTCATCTTGTGGTCTGTTGGCAGGTCCTGGCCTGGCTTTCATAGCATATCCAACGGCAGTAACGATGATGCCCGTGTCCCAGCTCTGGTCCTGCCTCTTCTTCCTCATGCTGATCTTCTTGGGACTGGACAGCCAGGTACAACAAATGTCCCCTCCTCATCTAATGCCCAGGTGCCAGTCCCCACCCTGAGCAGCCCCCAAAGCCATGGGAAAGGATAAGATGGTTATCTGCTTTGCTGGTACCTCAAATATGTTCTCCACATTGTCTGCAGCACTTTCACACCGTGTGAACTCAGAGCCAGGGCTGATGGGAGGCCGGTGGTTCTCCCTGTGTGTGCATGAAGGTGTCCCAGTTACATCTCCTCGCACCTCTGTGCCGGCACCGAAACCACGCACACTGTGGCGTGTGGCCCTGCACAGAGCAGGGCAGTTGGGGAAGAGGAATGGAGCTGTTTTCTGCCAGCTGCATCTCACCAGAGCAATCCCCGTGTGCTCTCCTTGCTGATGTGCCCATCTCTTACCCTCCCGTAACCCTGTTACGCCAGGAGCAAAACCCAGCAGAACATGCTGTGGGGTGCAGCATTGCAGCCCTGGCGCGCTGGCACGAGAGGAGCAGGGGATGTCCTGGCACGTCTGCCAGGCAGGGTGCTCTGATCAGGCTCCACTTCACAGCACCTCAGCCCCTGCGCCTGAAGAATGAGGTCTCTTTCTTCAGTTTCTCTGCGTCGAGGTCCCCTCCTGCCTCATCTCACTTATGGCTCTGCTTCGTGATGGCTGGGCTGTCCTAGCAGTGGCTGATGTTCTTTTAAGTATTCCATGGGTGATGTGTGCTGTGGGACCGAGAGCCACACAGCCCCACTGTCAGCCCCAAGAGCCACCAAGTCACCTCACCACCTTCTTTACTGGGTTGTCCTAGGCAGCTGTGGCATATTTTGCATCCAGTCCTGCTGTATGCAGGGTGTGCTTGATGTTAAGGCTGAGCTGTGCCCCCACAGTTGTCTGTCTCCCCTTAGCTTCACGGTGGCAGGAGGAGCTTCCCTCTGTCACAAGGGTTCCTTGTACCACCTCAGGTGCTTCCTCGCCCTGCTTGAGGAGCACAGTCTGTCCCTTGCCTCCAAATCTTTTGGTCATTCCTGCTCTGCAGCTTGTACATCTCACAGTTCATGCCCCCAGCATGGGGCTGTATTTTTAACCCTTTTGGTTTGCAGCTCCAGAGGAGACATCACTGATATAGTGAGCTGTGTTTGGGACCCTAGCAACTGCATCTGGCCCATGGTGCAAGCAAGACAGACAAAAAGAGAAAACAGAAAATTAAGAATTTAGGTGGCTGGAGGAAAAAAGAACAATGAGAGGGAGTGTGTGCTTGGGGAAGGGGAGACACTGGTTTTCCTGACCTGTCTTCTTCTGCAGTTTGTCTGTGTGGAAAGCATGGTGACTTCTCTTATTGACATGTTCCCGGGAGTGTTTCGGAAGAAGGGGCGTCGGGAGCTGCTGATCCTGGCCATTGCAGTCATGTGCTACCTGCTGGGATTATTGCTGGTCACTGAGGTAAGAAAGGAGTAGCTGGATTATACAGCCGAGCACCAGAAACCCTGCTAGACTGCTCTGGAGGAGTGGATACAGACAGCAAGCTCGTCTTTGATGCTGTTAATTATCCTTCATTTCTAATGCATTAGCTGGTGTCTCTCACAGCTGGTGCTGCTTTTACCCTGTGTGATGCTAGTGTGCTCACTGCCTAACTGAGCCTTCCAGAGAGATGGTCTCACAGCCCAGAGAGGCTGCCTGACACACAGATTTGTTCAAATATTAGGTCTGGTGGCTAAACCAAGCTGAGTCACACAAGCAGAAGCTCTTGTAAGGGCAGTGATCGTGTGCTGGCTGCTTTCCACAAGAAGCAGAGCAGCAGGAGGGGAGGCTGGGGGTAATGGCTGCACCATAACCCCACCTGAGCCGGTGGGAAGCCTGTGATCCCCGGGACCAGAGGGAGCAGAGCGGTGTTGGTGTGATGCTACGCACACGGTGTTTGCCGTGCTCTGCAGCTAACAGCCAAGCACCTCCTCCTGCACGGTGGTGTGCTGTGCTGCGCTGAGCGTGCATACCGCACGCGTGGGTGGGGGGGTCACAGCTCTCCTCTGTGTTGCCCCCGTTTCCTGTATACTGACAGCTAATTCCTGCTAAACCTCATAGGCGCTGCTGAATGATCCTCCAACAGGATCCTGGATGAGGGTTTGCTGAAGGCAGCTCCAATTGTGATCGAGAGAGCTTTGAGTGAAACTGCGTTAAGGGTTCCCGAGGCTTTGGCATGCCCCCTTGCATGGAGGCATCTACTCCCATCATTGCAGGATGTCACCTCATACGTGGTGGGATGATATGTTAGCTGCTCTGCTACTCTGAGAGTGTCTAGAGTCCTTCAGCACTGTTTGGAAACATCTGCTTGACTTGCGTTGGAAGGGCTTTCTCTTTGAGAAAACACGTGAAAGTATGAGAGAAGTGTCATCCACTGACCTGTAGAGGTAGCCGATGGCAGCTATGAAGGGCTCAGGTCAAATGCAGAGGCAGCAGGGAAGCCACGTGCCTCTGCTGTTCCAGGGCTTGGACCTTGAGCAATATGTAAAAATGGATGCAGCTAAAATGAGGTATCTGGGTTTCCTGATCCTTAGCATCCCAGTTTCTTGGGTGCAAAGTTCTGCACTGCTACATGGTATTTTGAAATGATGCTGGAAACTTGCTAACTAATTTAGATTAAGCAAACAAACTGGATCCTGCTCCTATGGACATAGAAACCAGCCTAGCCCAGCAGTATTGTAAAATGAGTATGAAATGCTATCCTGCCACCAGGCCTGACTGCCTTTTTGGGACAGAGTCGGGGCAGCCCCCAAGAGAAGGCTCTTCTTCTTCCACCTGCTCTAGGTGCAATGTTTCTGCTGCTATTCTTCTGTTTGCCTCAGTCATTTTTCCCTCACATGTAATAGTCCTGCCATAACTCTCTCTTCTCTACCTCTTCAACAGGGTGGGATGTACATCTTCCAGCTCTTTGACTACTATGCTGCCAGCGGCACATGCCTGCTCTTCCTGGCCATTTTTGAAGTCATCTGTGTAGGATGGGTGTATGGTAAGTGGGAAACAAAAACCTGTGTTGCTCTTTCTCAAGGCAAAGATAGGGGGTTGAGAAGTGGGAGTGGATAGGAAAGATCCTTAGAGGGCAAAGAAATGCTGTAATTACTCTCTTTCTTGTCTGGTTTTCACTGTGTTTCCTCACAACATTTCTTAGTTGCTCCACATTTAGAGTAGGAATGTTTTTTTCCTCTCTGAAGGTTCCTGATGTTGAACTACCTTTCTGCTCTTCCCATCTGCCCTTTGGATTAGAAAATCAGCTATAGAGGAGTGAATGCTGTTCTTTGGTCTGTTACTGTCTGCTTGCCTTGTGCCTTTAGTTCAGTCCTGTCAGTTAATTTGACACAAAATGCTGGGATTCAGCCTTGCTGTGCGTTACTTCTGTGAGGATATGTTTCCTGTTGGCAGGGCTGTGTTGGCATTCCTGGAAGAAAAGGGAGGGGCTGCTTTGGCTCTCAGTGAAGTCTGTAACTAAACTACTCAGGCGCAGGCTTAAACTGAGCTCCATGAACTCAGAAGGAAACCAGTTGCTTGTTAGTCTGTGCAGTAAGAAGAGTATCCTGTGATATCCTACAGGAGACCTGTTCCCTGCTGAATGGTACCTGAGCACACAGGCTGCAGTTCATCTCCCTGAAGATTGCATCAAGTCTGGTAGTTTTTGGGCAAAGAGTCTAGCTGCATGTGATATAGAGCAGCCGCTCTCTCTTCTTAGCTTCATGGAGCTGCAGGAGCTCAGTACTTGTAAGGATCATGAAAAGCTATAGTAGAAACCAGCTTAGACCTCGACATCCCACAATCATGCATGTGCTGGCTCCTAGCTACACCAAACACTGTAGCCATCCCAACCTAAGGAAAAGGTTGCAGGCACCAGCACCCTGTTGTGTCTCTTTCAATGGCCAAGAAGGAGTATAATAGCAGAAAAGTTAGCAATGATACTTTCTGTGAATATTTTTTCCAGCTTCTAACAAGTTATTATAGAACCATAGAATGGTTTGGGTTGGAAAGGACCTTTAAAGGTCATCTAGTCCAGACCCCCTGCCAATGGCAGGAATGTCTCTCACTACATCAGGTTGCTCAAAACCCCATCCAACCTTGCCTTGAACACTTGCAATGATGAGGCATCCCCAACTTCCCTGGACAACCTGTTCCAGTGTCTCAGCACCCTCATAGGAAAAAATTCCTTCCTTATATCCAATCCAAATCTACACTCTTTCAGTTTAAAACTGTTAGCCCTTGTCCTGTCACTACAAGCCCTAATAAAAAGTCTCTCTGTCTTTCTTACAAGCCCTCTTTATATATTGAAAAGTCACAGCAAGGTCTCCCTGGAACCTTCTTCAGGCTGAACAACCCCAACTCTCTCAGCCTTTCTTCACAGGAGAGGTGTTCCAGCCCTCTGATCATTTCCATGGACCTTCTCTGGACCCACTCTAACAGATCCATGTCTTTCTTGTGCTGAGGGTCCCAGAACCAGATTCAGTACTCAGCTTGTTGGCCAGGGATTTCCAGAACAAGAAGTAAAATCTATTTATTTCTCTTCTGTTAATTTTTCCAGTTGACTCAGGGTAAGCATTTATCATCCACAAAATACTGGAGCAAGGATCTCCATGGCTTGATCAGGTGTTGTATGAGGAGTCACTCTCTTCCTTGTTTTGAATCTGCCACTTGCTAATGTCATTTGGTGCCACCTTTCCCTTACTTTAGAAGAGGCAGTGAACAGTCAGTCCCTGTGTGCTCTCTTCAGTGCTTACAGTTTTATAGAGGTTGTATTGGCTGTAATGCAGTTGCTGATGAAGGAGTTACCAGTTTCTCCAAATGCTTTGTGTATGCTGTAATTGTTTTCTGGATGGATTTCTCTCTTACTGAAATGGTAGCAGGTCCAGCTGCTTGGGCTTGACCTCCAGGGAACGCAAGAGAAGCAGAACTGTAAGAGAGATTTATTCTAGAGAGATATCCTACATGGAAATCTCACCTGAGATCTTGCAACACTAGACCCTGGCCAGATGTAAATGTAGAGTCGCCTTCTACCCAGTTCCTGTGGGATTTACAGGGGGATGGAGATTCCCATCCATCTGTGACAGGGCTTTATCATCACCATGCTCAGTTACACTAAACTGAATTATGCTTTAATGTATAGAACCCCCCCCTGCCATTTTTACAGTCATCTTTTCCGACAGCCTGTGGAGGGGAGCAATGGCAGACAGTGAGCAGCAGCAGAATTGGTGCTGCCCCAGCAGCTTGGAAAGGGGATGGAGCCGCTGGGGACTGAGAAATGGCCCTTTCCCTCACCACCATGGGTTCAGTTGTCCCACTCCACACAGTGGGATTTTACACTCTTGACGTTCTGTTTTGTATCTATTAGGCTGATTCTGGTCCAAAATGTAGTCAGAGGGCCAAGGTGAGGCACCTTAGTGGAAAAAAAAAAAAAAAAAAATGGCTGATGCCAATTAATGCGTTTTTGATTTTTTTCCCCAGTCTCGGAATTGGCAGGGCTGAGCCTCTTGCTTACACTGTGAAGAATTACAGCACTTTCGCTAACACAAATATGCGTTCTGAGTTTCCCCTCTCCCCGCACATACGCCAACCACCCACCACTTGGCAGCTTCCCTCTGCTGCCAGGCAGCTGCTCTCGCAAAGATCTGAGGATTTCCTCACGTACTGCTCTCTGCCTGTGAAAGGATCGCGCAGCATCAGACCTGCTGAGCGTGTTCCCTAGAGGGGAGTGCTGGAGGATTTTTTTTGTTTGTTTTTCTTTTTCCCCTTTCTCCTCTCTCCCTTCTACTTTGGTACAGGCAGCCCTCATACAAGCAGGCATGGGGTTTGAGCACTGGAATTCACACCATGATGCCACCAAAACATGCTGAAGGGAGGATATTTTTCCAGGCAGTCACAGCATGCACATTAGGATTAGCTGTTCCAGGAGAAAGCGAGTGCCTCCATCACCGCAGGAGAGACAGGGCTGAAACCATTAGAACTGTTTACAAAGCTAAAGCAAACTGATGCCAGCGGGTACATGTGGGTGGCCCTAGGGTGAACCCGTGTTGTGCTGGAATAAATCTTTCTCTCGATCTGTTGCTCACGTGCAGCGTGGCTACCAGAAGCAGCAGCCTCCTTCTGCCTGGACCCTGCCCGTCGGGCTTGCTCTGGCTGTGCGTCCTTTATCCTCTCGGGTGAATTGGCTACAGGAAATCTTACACACTTATTTACAGAGCCTAAGGGTCCTCCTCTGTGCACCTGGTACCCACAGGGTGTGCAGTTGTTGCAGTGCCACAACGCCTCTGCTGCTGGCGTTCTGCACAGGTGTTGGTGCTGCGGGTTTGAGACAGAGAGGGAGCAGATACAAGCTTAGCAGTACGGCACAGAGCTGGGGTCATCACCTGTCGAGATCCCGTGGGTGAAATTTGATTTAGATGAATGCAAATAAATGCAGCCTGGGAGAAGGGAAAAGATTTAAAAGGGAGGGCTCTTTCATAGATTCCAAACTAGCAGATCCGTGAAACTCATTGTTTCTGGATATTGTAAAAATAAAATAAAATAAAATAAAATCTTTGTCCCTTTTGGTTTGGGTACTACTTGCAGTTGTTATAAACTACATAAAATAAGAAGGGCTCTATAAGGACAATACATAAAGCTGTAAGAAAATCCCTAGTTGGGTTCATGTGATATTTATTCACATGAATTTATGTAGCAAAAGTAAATGATTTGTCTGAAAAGCATGTAATAGCTTTGAAGGTATATGGGATTGGTCAGCACAAGAGAAGTGATACCATCATGCATGGACAACTGCCCTGTGTCTGCATACCATTTTTCCTTGTTTTGGGATACTGGGGATAGCAGCAAACATCTTTGTTCATTCCAACCAAAATCTCTTTGGGGAAATCTTTATGGTTTTCTCTGCAGAAGCTTTATCTAATCTTTCTAATGTGCTGGGAAGGAAGGGGGACTGCACACGTCCTCCAGCTTTTAATTTGCTCAAAAATCCAATGCGGAGTGATTGAACTGATGGCTTTTTAAGCTTGATTACTTTTTCATCTGCCTGTGAAACATAGAACATATAAAACCTCCTGTTCATATACTCTCTGAGGACATTCATGTCAGTCCTCATTGTGTTTCATCACATCACTTGCTGACTGCCACAGTGGCTGTGGAAATGCAGGACCTGATGGCTGTACTACAGAGAATAGGGATATGGACAGATGGAGGCACAACATAACTAACAACATAAGTTTTGGGTTGTTTTCTTAGCGAAGGATGGATGTCTGTTGTGTCTTTCTTGTTTGGTATTTCTTTAATTGCTATGACTAGTCCACTAGATCCTAGACCCAAATTTGCAGTGAAACTTTGGCTTCCTCAAAACTGTATTATGAATTAATTTATCTGTCATGTGTCTGACATCACAGTGTGTTTCTGTGGAAACACTGTATGGTATAAGAGATGGTGCTATGCTCATATTCTAAACTGCAAATCACATGATTTATATATCTCCTTTTTTCTTCACCCTGTGGAAAATTTTGGCTTTTTGGCAAAATACATTTTTTATGCCATCTCCCTTTCATCCCCACTATATTTTTGGAAATGCTATCTGAAGCCTCATGATATTTACAGCTTGGAATTTTTAGGGTTGTGTTCTCTGGTGTAGGCTGGGCTCCCACACAAGGCTGCATGTCCCTTGATATGCCACAGCTTCTTGTCTTTGCTTGAGGCTACTTGTTAACTTGCCAACTCAAGATGGGAACCATGAGGTGTTCAAAGAACCTGCCCTCCTCAGCCTAAATACTTCAAAAAGCTGGGTTTAAAAGAGCTTTTCTGCAAACGTTAGTCATGGGATATAGAAAATAATGCAAAGAATTACAAAAAAGAAAATCACATTTAGTATGCTTTTGTAAAATTCATATATTTAAAGGAAACATAATACAGCAATTTAATTCTAAAAGACATAAAATACACAAACCAAAAGAAAATTCATCAAACCCCTAACACTCAGAAGTGTGGCCAGTCCACTAAGCATATATTTTGCCCAGTCCAGCTTTCTGGTGTTAAGATGCAAAGAAGCAAGGTCTCATCATGCTTCAAGTGGTACCTGTGTCACGACCTTGAGTCCACAATGCGTTGAACACCCCTAAAGGCAGAGCCCTTCTGTATCAGCTAAGCACTGTCATTAACCTTCAATAAGACAAATACGGTATTATTTCATCGCAGAGGTGCTCAACTGGTAACCCTTTCTATAGACAGTCTAGCTCCATTTGTTGCCTAATATTGTTACTCTATTTTACCTGAGGCAGTCTAATAGAGTACCTCTGTCTAGCTCTAGTTAAGAATAAGTTAGTGCATCTACTGAATGACTTTTTGCTTCTTCTTCATTTTACATCTCTTTTTGGCCAACATTAGGCTTTTGTTCTTTGAACACATCTTAGAGCTTACTACGAGGTCTGCTGAAGTCCATCTGCATTACGCCATCTCCTCTATATCCCATTGCATACATTTCCTCTTTATCCTTCGGTTTGGGAGCAGTCAATGGATAGTGTCTGGCCAGAGCCAGGACTTTTAGATGCTCTTCAGAGGTATATCCCACTCTGGTGCACCCTGAGATTCATGTGGGTGCCTCATACCGTGAACAACATAATCTAGTAAGTGAAACTGAGAGGAGAAGAAGGAGATCAGGCAGGCACAGATCAGATCTCCTTGGACAGTACAGCAGTACTTGCTGCGAAAGATTTGGTTTGCAGAAGAGTTTGGATTGCCAGGTCTTTGGGGTTTATGCCAAAAAAAGAAAAAATTATGTGGAAAGCACATTCTTGATGACAGGGGTAATGCCCAGCTCAGTGGGGATTCTTGATATGACTTCCCTGGTGTGCTGATGTGGTGAAAAAGAGAGGGTTTTGTTTGCTGTCCCCCATTCTCTTTGTTCCTTTTAGCACTCTGGGCTCACACAATCCCATGTGCTCAACCTGCAAGAGCTTTCCCTTGCTTACCCTTAAACCAGATGCTCCTCCTTGCTTTGTGTCGGTCCTTACCAGCTCTTGGTGGCCCATGGGCTGCATCATCTCACTTACAGCTGCTGCTGTCTGAGGGATAGGGTATTTTTTCTGTGTCAAGCTTTCTGGTAACTTATGACTGACGTTAAAAAACCTCCATCTGTATTTAGCCACAGATGGGTGCATTTTTAATGCCAGGAAAGCCTGTTACCTGCTGAGGTATTATTAGGATCTTTTTGCCAGGAGCAAACACTGAGGATAAAGAAAGTTGGGATCTGATATGAATAGTGGTTGAAGGCAACAACAACAATCTGACCTCTGACTTTGTCTCTGTGCTGGCTGGTGGCCAAGGTGCCAACCGCTTCTACGACAACATTGAGGACATGATTGGTTTCCGGCCATGGCCCTTGATCAAGATATGCTGGCTGGTGTTCACTCCAGGTCTGTGCTTGGTAAGTACAATTTTGACAACGTGGCATATTACTGTAGGTCCCTTGCTTCTCAGGAGAAAAGGTTGATTTCTCTTCAAGGTGTTGCTGTAATTTTTTCAAACTGCTATGGAGAAGCAGAAGCTTGTCCATGGCTGAGGCAGCTAACTATTTCCTTTATAAAGGTTTGTCTTTTGCCTGGAAAATTAATTGAGCCTGAAAAGCCACTTGTTTACTGTCAAGGCAAAGGGAAATGTATCCTCAAGGTCTGGAGAGGTTTGGTCAAATTACTTTTGAATAGAAGACCAGTGAGAATTACCCTGTTCTGAAATATTTGCTTCAGCCTGTGTTCCTGTGGCCTCCTGTGGTTCAGAAATATTCTTCCACAGCCATTTGCTTTCTATGTTATTAAATCTCTTTTAAAACTTCTGTGACAACTGTATTTAAAGAAAATGCACCCTAAGTCAGGCAAGTTCTTGCTTGTTTTATGTCCAGTCTTGCTCCACTGACTTTTACATGATTTCTGAGCTAAATTCTGCTCCTGCGTCTGATGTTGAGAGTTGTTTTCTTTGACCTCAGTGGGAACACGGATGGGATCTATAGCTACTTACAAAAGATTTCTAGCCCTTTGTCCTTGGGCTCCAGCAGGAGTTGAATATCAGGGAAATTTTCAAAGCAAGCCTGATCCAGCCCAAATCATTGGAGAGCTCTGTGGCTAGAGAGCCCCAGGAGTGGTAAATCTGTGCCCGTGTGGTACTTCTGGAGGGCTTCTTCCAGGAACAGCAACAATTCCTGGCTTTGAAATGAATATATTGCTGTGTTGATGTTGCTGGACCCTCAAAATTGCTGCCAACTTTGCTCAGGGTGAACTCTTAGGAAGCCTGAAGGCTTTACACTGTGGAGAAGTCTGGCCCTGGCTCTGAGATAATTCTTTGTGCAGCCAGCATCCACCAAGCTCTGCCTCGCTGCAGCGAACAAGGTCCGTGCTAGCTCAGGCACATACATTGCCACCCAGCTGGTGCTTGCAGGGTGGCCAGGCTGCCTGGCTTGGCTGCACCCTTTGCTTTGGCTATGTCTGTGTTTTCTGCTCCTCAGGCTGTCTTCCTGTTTTCCCTGATCAAGTACACGCCCTTGAAATACAACAATTCCTACGTGTACCCACCCTGGGGCTACGTGGTGGGCTGGCTGATGGCACTCTCCTCCATGGTCTGCATTCCTCTCTACGCCATCTTCATCCTCCTGAAAACCAAAGGACCCCTGAAGCAGGTACTGGGATTGTAGTCACTGGGCAAGTTGCTGCTGCTTCCCCTGGATGGCTCATGGGAGGGGCCCCAGGGAAGACACACGTGGCATATTTCTCCGTAGAGAAGGTGAGAGAGGATGAGGGTGGTCCTTCCCCAGAATGCCCTGTAGCTCTTGTTGGCAATTTGGAGGGCTTGGAGAGTCCCAGCACAGCTCCCAGGGTGATCATCAAATGTCCAGAGTCTTCCATGAGACATTGCACCACCATGCTTGGTGCAATACGTAGGCATATGCAGAGTGTCCCCAACGCTGGCTCCACTGCGTGGCAAAGGACCCTCTCAGTGTGGGCTACCCGAGGCCACAGTCTGATTAGTTTGGTTTATGGTTCAGGTGGTCCCACTGGTCACGTAACTAAAGATGACATGCCACCACCTTTGTCTCCTCTTCTGTCACTGACTGGTGCCAGTGAAAACCAGGTGCAAAACCAGGATCTGTTTTGCTCTTGCTTCTTGTCCCTTGCTCCTGCTCCTCTTTTATTCCTGGGTCCAGGATCATGTTATTTTTTCTGAAGAAATTATCCATGGTTATTAAAGAAGACATGCTCCCAGATCTGTAAAGGTCTACCCTGTGCCATGCCCAAGCCTGTCCCCTTTCACTGTAGACACCTTGTCCTAGGAAGAGCTGTGTCTAGGAAGATGCTGTCATGGATATGACACCCCACCTGACCCATGAAGGAAGATCTGAGTGATGTACAGTGAATATAAATTTCTGCACAATTTCTCTTCTGGTCCTTCCCCATCTTCACTGGTTGCAGGCTCATCTGTGGCTGGTTGGGGAGGGGGGAGCAGCAGAACAGAGGATGGGAGCATCCATCTGGCTGTGGTGTGACAGTCACATTGTGGGGGTAACAGGGAGGAGGACCCTGAACTGCCAACACAGCCAGGGATGGGCTGGGTGCAGGATGTCCTCGGTGGCTCCGTTGCCTCAGGGAAGGTGAATCTGTGCCCACAGAGGCTCTTATTTACTGGCTGGGAGATGTGACTTAATAGGGAGTGACAGGAGCTGTGGCAGAGCTGGCTAATGCAGTGCAACGCCAAGATGGGAACGGTAGCAATGAAAGTCTTCAGTGAAACAGTGAGATAAACCATGCAGGCAGGAAGGTGGAGGAGAAGTACGATGTTATGAAACAGTTCCTGTTTAGCTGCCTTTGGCCCTTAGGCCTCCTGGTTGCTGTTGGTGGCCATGAAGAGATTACAAGGTTGGGAGGGATCTGGGAGCTGTACACCTCCCTGTATGAGGAACTCCAGGTGAATCTTGTGCCAAGGTGCTGCGATGTGATTTGCTCCAAGTTCAGATCTTACAGCCCTCTCCCGTGCTCCATCCTGTTTAGCAGTAACACCCTTCCCATGGCTGGTTTGCAGAGTTTGACGGAGTGGCTGGCAGCGTCTCCAACTCCTCTCAGCTCAGGGGTTTCATATGTCTAAATGAGGACATGGAGCTGTCAGTGAAGTAATTGCCCAAATGTCCCGCCTGCTAAACCAGCAATATTTGTCACCTGTTGCAAAGTGTTTTGAGACCTTGGAATGAAATGCTGCTGTGAGTAGTGTTAATGCTTATTTTACAGCACATCCGAGGAATTGATTTGGCCAATTTCAGATGGAGGGTTTTTCTATTTGCCCTGGTTTAAATGATATTAGTTGTAATTTCCAGGGACTTCTCAGTTATATTAGTGTGAAGAAACTTCCAAGGTCTGGTTAGTCATGCGGGAAGGAATCACCTGCTAATCCTGGGTTAGTTCAGGGGAGAATCAAAGCCAACCACATGATACCTTCTGGAATAGTCACACCTGTTTCGAAAACAGGTTTTTTCAAAATATACCGGTTCTCTTTTTCCAGTCACACCCCAGAAATGTAGCGAATTAATTTATTGACACAGATGCTTCTAGGTTCAGCGCCTTTCAACTGAATATTGCAAACCATTCACTGAAAGCAAGTTTGTAATTGGTAATTATGATCAGTCACTGCCACAACCTGATTCCTCTTGTTATACTTGACTGACCAAGAAACACAAATGTTGTTTCCTAATGTGTGTGATTAAGACTGCTCAAACTCCCAAAGACTGAAAACTTGCAATGAACTGCTCACATAGCAGCTGCAGGCCAAGGCCAACTTCAGAAATCATGGGGCAAATAGTTTTGAAAAAATTAGCAAAATCCATGATTCTAGAACACTCCACAAGGAGTGGAAGGACTCAAATTAATCCACTGAGTCATGGATGAATTGCCTGCTCTGCTTGTGATGGACTCTGCAAGGGAGGAGCGTGCACTGGCCTGAACAGCTTGTGATAGAAGTTAGTAACTGTGAAAGTTGATTCTCAGCAGGAAAATGATATACTGACTCACGGAGCTAGGCATCATGTATTACTTGGTTTTGGGAGGAGACCAGGTGCTCAGGAAGTTGTGTAGCACCAGAGGGGCTTCAAAAATGGGATGACAAAGACCAGAAATTCACAGCAGGTGCCTCTGCAGGCCAGTACATTTTGCCCAAAGAGCTCCAAGTTCTTTGCATTTTTTAAGAATAAACTCCCAAAGCTGACACAACACTAGTGTACGTGCGTGTGGAACAGCCTGCAGCACCCCTGCGTGGCAGAGAATGGGGGGAGCTAAGGGCAGGCAGCTGCCCCACAACCCCTGCCTGCAGCATTGCACCGTTGCACCAGGGTGGCTGGAGGAGGGGAGCTGGGATGGTTTTGGGGGCAGGAACCAGTCTGCGGAGGGACTGCTTCACCAGGGAAGTGCCACTGAGGTACGTATCACCTGCCACCTTGTTTTGGACCACAGCAGGAGATGCCCAGCACTTTCTGATGGTCAGAGCATCTGGAAGGCTCCCACCAAAGTCAACGGGAAGCACAGCTACTTGGCACAGGGGGAAAAAAAAAAAAAAAGAGCTTTATGGTTTTTTTTCCATGGCCACAAAAAAATGTCTGTGGGGCTAATCCCTAGCATCCTTCCTCCAAGAAACATGTCTGTGAGGAGCTTTGTACATCGGGTTGTCCGTCCATGGCCCAGGTTTGAGCCTAGAGGTGGACTATTTGCCACCAAGAGCAGCTAAAGCAAGCCTGCTCTCCTTCCCCTCCCTTTCACAGCTGTTTGGCGGGAGAGGAGCAGGGGGCTGGGAGCATTAGCTGTGTAGGTGCCTTTGCCCCCAGCAGTGGTTGTGGATCACTGTTGGGTATCGATTTATTTGTCAGCTTAATTAACAGAGGCTTCCCCTCCTCAGCGGCTAACGCAGCTGATTTCCCCAGCGGAGGATCTGCCGCAGCCGAAGAAGCGTGTGGCGGGGCTGTCCGAACTGAAGCGCAAGGGATGGTCCCCTCCGGTCCAGGAGGTGCTCAGCATCACGGAGAGAGAAACCCACTTCTAAGGCACCGGGGATGTCTCCTCCATACCCCGCACTGATTCGCTCTCCCCTTCCCGAAGTGCTTTCTTTTCTCTCCTGGGCTCTTCCCTTCGCTCCTTCACGTCTGAGACAGAAGCACCGGGGACACCCTCTCCAGCTGGTTGCACCCACGGGGGACAGCATTTCTTTTGACACTCTGGGGACAGCTCTCCCTGTCAGCAGCTGGGGAGAGAGCAACATGCTTTGGTCAGAAGCGTCCTTCAGCACTGATACTGGTGGGGAAGAGAAAAACAACGTGTTTACAAAAGAAGAAAAGATAAAAAAAAAAAAAAAAAAAGCAGTTATGTTGGGAGGAGGAAAGGAAACCACAGTGGTGAGAGGGAGCAGAGAATAAAGGTGTGCAGGAGCAAAGTTAGGGATGCAAAGGCACAAAACGATGGGGTTTTAGCGCAGGGAATAAGTAAGTTAGTTCAGAAGTACATAAGCTAGAGGATGACAAAGGAAAGTGCATTGCTAGGTCACGTACGAATGAGGGAGAGGGAGCCAGGGACATATCATAGGCAATGATAAAAGGAGGCTGCAGCGTTAGTAGTTACGGCTTCAGTTGTCACTAAAGGGGAAGAGAGCGACAGGGCGCTCGATGCAATCATAGGTATGGATGATGGATCTCAGGGCAGTCTCGGGCTGGAAAGGGGGTGAGGAATAGCTATCTAGGGGACTCGCTCTTGGTCAAAACTACACGGCCCAGTGCAAATGCATCCAAGAGTGAAACGGCTGAATATTTGACAATTCTTTCAGAAAATTCATGGAGTGCAGGAAAGGTCCCAGAGCAGTTGGTATAAAAATTGAGCTGCAGCACAGCAGGGAGAAATTAGACCCTGGGGACTGCACGCCCACAAATTTAACTGCACTGTTGGGGCATTTTGTAGAGGAATTAATGAAGGAGTTGATGGGCCTGATTCTGTGCTGCAGAGTAGCTTTGGGGCGAAGGTAGGAGAAGAATTATGCTTCCTTGTCTTTGCTGCAGATGACTGCTCAGGGGATAAGGAAGAAATAATCGGGTGCCATAATCATAAGGTCAGGCAAGATAAAGCAATAATTAATAGGTAAGATGGGTTCATTGGAAGCAGGCTGCGTCATATTAAAGGTCTCTTGTTGCCTGGGTAGTCATGAATGTGAGGCGATGGCTGAGAGGGATTGCGCTCGGATGCGGTGTTTGGTGCAGTGCCAGACAGCTCTGTCCTGTGGAGGCCGGGGCTGTAATACTCCCAGCCAAAACCTGCTTGAATGCCTATCAGAATTTCACGGCTAAAACCACAGGAAAAGCCAGTGGTAGGATCCCCCTCCGGAGCTTTGTTGTGGTCGAGGGTACACGCGCCGGTGCATGGCTGTGTTGCAATAGTGGCGCAACAAACCAAGCCAAGAGAATGGCTATTAAAAAGAATCAGAGATGCCACAGGCTCCTTTCCCTTGTTCCTCGTTCCAAGTAATTGCTTTTCCCTTTGCTGTGTGGAGATAAACCACCAGCACTGAAAATAAGCGGGAAAATCGGGCCTCATCTGTATAATGTGGTACCTATTCCAATTGCTATGGGAACCTTATCTTTTGCAGTTTCCTGTGAGTTTAACTGGTGAATTAGCATAGGGCAATCTTTTTCCCATTTAATTTCCTTTCCTTTAAAAACTAAAAATTGTCGGTGAGAGGAACACTGAAAGCCAAATATCAAAATTTGTACCTCTCTGGGACATTATTGTTTGACTGGAGATCATTTACTGCTAAAGACAGAGATAGCTGGCAAACCTCACTCTTGTTCACTGCAAAGGACTGCAGCATCACATAAGACATCATTTATTTTATTTTTACTTTCGAAAGAGCTAAATGTCGCATCGCAGCAATAGTCATGCGAAGAACTTAACATCCAGAGGCCTCATGGTAAGTATCTTGGTGTTTTTCCCTCTCCCTCCCAGCGGCGTTGCTCACGATTTGGTGAGGGGGAGCAGCTCCCTGCAGAGAGGTCTCCACATGTGGCTGGAGCAGATGCCAGTGGGTGCCACCAAGGAGCAGCAGTGACAGGGTGGCACAGCCCGAGCAGCTGGAGGAGCCACCGGCCTTGGAGGGGTGCTGGGTGCCTGCTGGGTGCTCACTGGGTGCCTGCTGGGTGCTCACTGAGTGCCTGCTGGGTGCCTGCTGGGTGCTCACTGGGTGCTCACTGGGTGCCTGCTGGGTGCCCGCTGGGTGCCCGCTGGGTGCCCGCTGGGTGCCTGCTGGGTGCCCGCTGGGTGCCCGCTGGGTGCTCACTGGGTGCCTGCTGGGTGCTCACTGGGTGCTCGCTGGGTGCCCGCTGGGTGCTCACTGGGTGCCTGCTGGGTGCTCACTGGGTGCTCGCTGGGTGCCCGCTGGGTGCTCACTGGGTGCTCGCTGGGTGCTCACTGGGTGCTCGCTGGGTGCTCGCTGGGTGCCCGCTGGGTGCTCACTGGGTGCTCACTGGGTGCCCGCTGGGTGCTCACTGGGTGCCTGCCTTCCCCTGCTTGGAGCTGCCACGGGGCCGTGCATGGGGGGTTTCATTTTGGGTATGGGCTGCAGCTGCCTCGATAGTACCCGTGGTCAAAATGGTGGTATCTGGATTTGAGAAGGAAACCTGCCTTCTCTTCTTCAAGTAACAGAAAGGAAAGCGAAAGGGCCGAGGCTTGCCATCCAGCGTCAGTCTTAGGCATCAGCACAGGTTTCTTGTATGACCCTTGGTAGGATATTTAACCCCTTTGCTCCTGCTGCCATGCCTTTAAGATGTAAGGTAGTGTCGAACTGCCAGAGAAGTCGTGGGGATGTGTTCACTCCTTTTTCTGAGGTAGTCTGATAACACTGCAAAAATCCTAGATAGAAACAAGTCACTTTTCAGTTTTGCACACAAATAGGAGGCTGTGTTATTGAAAATAAATACTGCATGAACTGGTTCTTCTGTTGCTTATGTATAATCTGATAGTAGCATCCTAACTCTGCCAGGAAGCAGCATATTTTAATAAAGTCAGAGGAGGTATTGCTGTCCCCGTTGAAAGCAATTACAAAATTTCCAGGATCAGGATATTAATCCAGGTGCTTTGGATGGGGTTTTCAGTCTCAGGAAGTTTAAGGGAAAGCTCAGCAACCCAGGTACACCCAGGTGGGGGAACAGGGGGAAATGCCACCAATGGCTGTCTTTTGCTACGAGACCCCCAGCATGCAGGCATAGTTAGAGGCCAAGCAAGTAATGGTTTGCTAAACTGATACAAACATCTCAGTCATGACAGATCTGACAGGTCTCCATCAGGCCCTGGGAGTGGGCCCTTCTGGAGACCTCTGAGTCTGATGGGAAACTGCTCCCCTCCTGTGCACCACCAGCATGTAAATACACTATCGAAGGGATGATAAGGAAAGGAGGGAGATATTTTTTTTTTCACCCCTGTACTTGTTGATAGCAGGCCAAGACATGATGCGTTTGAAACAAGTCCAAGGGAAGTTACAAGGTAGCCATGCTGTGTTGCTCCTCCTGGACACAGGAAAAACACTGCATATAGAAGAAAAGCCAGACATCTGTCAAGCACCTAACTACTACTTTTAGACTTTTTAAAATATTTTTAAAATTTTTTTAATTAAAAGACCATTTTCATCCCGCTCTACAGAAAGAAAACCCAGGAAAATTGTTAAAAAGAAATCAAGGTAAAAGGTCTTGTATTCTTGTATTTTCCTTCTCCTTTCCTCATTCTCTGTTTCTTCCCATTTTTCTGTCTCCTCCTTTTCAGCCTTCCCTCCCTTCTTCCTTCAACAGTGGAAAAAGGAAAAAAATGGAGAAGGAAATCATAGTTGAAAACTCGTACTGGACAAAATTTGAAGAAAGAAAGATGAAGCAGATGGCAAACAAACCAAACAAGTTGTTAGGAGTTACTTTCCTGGCACACTACCCACACCGCTTATCCACCCTGCCCAGACAGAGAGGTTGTGTCCACCCCTGTGTGCACCAAGCAAGTCCCTTCTCAGGTCCTTCTGGCAAGTTTATTTTTCCCAAAGAGAAATGTGTCATTGTTGAGCCTCTTCCCTTAGATCCTCCTGTGAATGAAGGGGATTCCTGGTCTGGCTGGACTGCTGCCTGGTCGGGTAGAGACACTGTGGTGTCCTCGACACGGCCCCAGGGCTGCGGCTGGACAGGGACCTCTTTCCATTCTGGCCCTGGAGGTGCATCCAGGCTCTGGAGGACTCTTAGAAATTCTTCCATTTCTACCTTTTTCCAACATGAAGTAATATTTATTTCTTCGCATCATCAGGATATCTTCAATTTTCATGACTCCAACACTCAACACAGTTTTTTGGGGGAGGAGAATTACAGAGGCATTTCATCTTGGTTGGAGCTCAGCTCTCAAACCTTCCCCTGCCCCGGGTGACCATCACAGCCATCAGGCAAAGGACAGTGATCTACTGTAGTTCCCAATGAGCTGGAGATGCAGCTGTGCCCTTCCTCCAGCCCTCATCTTACTGTTTTGTTTGGAGAGAAGCTATGCCCATGATAGCCCTACTGCAGGGGTTAGCTACCGAGGATTGGAGCCACAGCTCTGTCCTCAGCAATCCTTTTGATTTTCCCTTGATCATGTGCATGTATTGTACCTTGCCAAGGGCCAGTAGAGGACAAAGAGCAGTAGGCACTGATCTGGAGGAAACAGGGTGTTTTGGTTTGTGTAAACCCTCAGAAGAGCCATGGAAACTGTTTTTTTCAGATGCCAGGGACATTGGGTAATGTTTGTGTTGTGTGATTTGCGGGTGCTATTCAGTAGCTGCACGGTTTGTGCTTGTATCTGGGGTATTTCCTGAGCTTTGTTTCCCTGATGTGTGGCAGGAGGGGTTTGATGAGGTGCTTTCCTGGTCTTGAAGGGAAATGTGCCTTGCCCAGGTAGAAATAAGAGACAGTAGTCAAGCGATTTCAGTGCACAGCCAAGGGCCAGGAAACATTAGGTTGTCTTGCTGTTCTTTGCTTTATTAGGTTTCATGTGCTAATGTATAGTAACCTCTTACTAATTAGCTAAGTCAGGTTTAACAGGGTAAGAGGGGAGTAATGTTCATCAGAGGAGAAAATAAAATAATATAAGCTTTCAAAAAGTAAGAATTAAAATCCATGTTGTGAGGGGATAAGGAGATGGGGAAATGTGTACATTCTGCCATCCAGTTCTCCCTGTGGAGCTGCAGGGAAGGGCTGGGACATCAAAGTCAAAGACTATTCCTAAATATCTTGCTGGGGTCAAGGGAAGAGAAGAAACATGTCTAACAGTGCTTGGGGGGGGGGTGGGGTGGGGGGCAGTGAGGAGTTTTGGTTTGCTTTGTTTTGTTTTGAAACCCACAATAAGCTCTGCCCCCTTGACTGCTCTTGAAGCACGATCCTTGCTCTGTTTTGAATCCGTGACCCATGACTGTATCTGCAAAGGAGGACATGTATTTTTGGAGCTGTCTGTTCTGGTTTGTCAAGCCTATGCTTGGAAAGCTATGTGGAAAAGAAAGGGATTCCCAGGGAGAAATGCTTTCAATGGCTGTGCAACGCCAGTCGTGGGCAACTCTGTCCTGTCTTGCTTTTGGTCACACGCCAAGACCATTCTGTGAAATGGTCTCTTGATTTTTTTCTCCCTTTTTCACCAGATGTAGAATAGTTTCCTGCCCAGTCTGGGTTACAGCCAGGATGAGGAGCTTCGCCCCGCTATCTGTCTAGGATGGCTTCTCTGGACTGGAGGCATGCTTAAAATCGTTTGTTATTTGCCAGTGGACACTAGACTTATCCAAAATACACTTTATTGAGTGTGAGGTTTTTGTTGTGCCATAGTGTTGATAGTGGTCTCTGGAGAAGGGTGAGTGATCACAGGCTGGTACCTTTCTTGACCTCTTATTTCAACAGGAGGTGAAATGAGCTTCTTTTTCTCATGGAGGAATAAACCCATCCCCAAACTGAAAAAAACAGTGTGTCACTTTCCCATATCCTGGAGAAGGACCATCGCTGCATCGTGCGACACAAACCTCCCTCCCCACACACTAGCTTTGAAGTGGGGATGAACTGAGAGCTGGAGCCCAGTGTTTCTTGAGCAGGGTCTCTGGGAACAAAGGGATTTTTGCTGGGGTGCTGCAAGCAGCACACCAGTGGGCCCAGGAGCTGCTGAAGAGAAATCCCACCAGTGGCAAGGCACAGCAGTGTAAATCAGAAACCCTGGGTTAGCCTCTTCAGGCTGGTGGGTGGCAGCCTGGCAATGGGAACTGGCCCAAGTGCCGGGGCTTAATTTCGTAATTTTGAGCTAAAGGTGTCCAGGCAGTGTTAGTTTTCTGTGCCAAGCTTTTGGATGAGGTATGAATTCCCCAGGCAGGCCGGGGAACTGTGGCTCCCATCAGCACCAGTGTGATGTGTATGTCAGTCATGTAATGGGGAGACGGCGGTGGAGGCCTCTCGCCCATG